GTCTCCTTTTAGATCAAATAAAAAGGGTAATTCTAGAAATGATAATAATAGTAATAAAAACCAGAATAATAGAAATAAATATAGATCTAAAAGTAGAGGAAATAGTAGGTCTATAACTCCAAATAAAGGGGGTAAAAGATGCTATAATTGTGGTGATCCTAACCATTTTATACGTGAGTGCCCTAAAAGAAAGAACAATAATGTTACAAACAGTAATAATAATGGTAGCCAACAGCATGTTAGTGAGTTAGCAAATATGACATTACTTGATAAAAATTGTTGTGATGTGTTTACTGTTACTGTCGATTGCTTGAATATGAACAATGTATGTATGAATGAATGGCTTATTGATTCTAGACGCACTTACCATATGACTCCATTAAAATCGATTTTTTGTGAATGAAAAACTTTAGAAAATTGCACTGTTTCCATGGCTGATAATAGCGTTTCTAATGTGCTTGGAATAGGTAGTGTAAATTTGAAATTTAGCACTGGTTTTGTGTTAAAATTAAATAATGTGAGACATGTATCTGATTTATCAAATAATATGCTATCATGTGCTTCACTATCAGATTTAGAATTACAGGAAAAGTGGGGAAATGATTGTATGAAAATTACTAAGAGATCTTTAGTTGTGTTTAAAGTTGTAAAACGTAATAATCTATACGTTACTTGTGCTGAACCAATTAATATGCCTGTAAACACAATAAATTTTATTAAAGAGAATAGTGATTTGTGGCATAAGAGATTAGGACACTTAAGTAATAAGGGATTATAAATTTTACATAAAATTGGATCCTTAGGAAATGTAAAATTTAATCCAGTGTCCTTTTGTGATAATTGTGTGTATGGTAAACACCATAGGGTCCAATTTCTCCATCCCCTAGTGAAAAACGTGATTTGTCTAAATCTGTGTTGGATTATTTGCATGTTGATGTGTGGGGCCCAACTAGTGAGCCCACACATGATGGGTCTAGATATTTTTTATCCATTATTGACGATTTTTCAAGAAAAACCTGGGTATTTCTTATGAAAAATAAATCTGATGTGTTTGATGTTTTCAAAAATTGGAAAATTAAAATTGAAAATCAAACAACAAAGAAAATTAAATATCTTAGAACTGATAATGGTTTAGAATTTCTCAATTCCTGGTTTGATATTTTTTGTCAAGAAAATAGTATAAATAGACATAGGACTGTCCCCCATACACCCCAACAAAATGGGGTGGCTGAAAGGATGAACCGGATTCTCTTGGAGAGAGTTCAAAGCCTTTTGGCTTCATCCGGGTTATCTAAAAAATTTTGGGGGGAAGCTGTTATGATAGCAGCTTATATAGTCAATAGATCACCCTCTATTCCTCTGAATGGCGACTGTCCTGAATTTAAGTGGACTTGTAGGATAATTGATTTTTCAAATATTTGGGTTTTTGGGTGTTCTACTTTTATACATGTTAATAATGACAAATTAGACCCTAGAGTTGAAAAATGTTTTTTCTTGGGTTATCCGGAAGGAGTTAAAGGTTATAGATCATGGTTAAGGTCTAGACCCGGTTTTAAAACTGTTATTAGTAGAGATGTTTTCAATGAAAATGAGATGTCTTGTTAAAATGTTGAACAATCTGTTTTGGATAAATCTGAAATTGATATTGAAAATTTAAGGTCTAGGCTTGGTGATTTTGATTTATCTTCTTTGGCTTTTAGTGTATTTGGGAATTTAGATGGTAATGAACCTAAGACTTTTATGGAGGCCATAAATTTTGAAAATAAAAATCAGTGGGTAAAAGCAATGAAAGAAGAAATGGATTCATTATATGATAATAAGACTTGGTGTTTGGTTCCTAAACCTCTTAATTGTTCTCTTGTTGATTGTAAATAGATTTATAAAGTTAAACAAGAAGATAGTGGAATTAGGTTTAAGGCTAGATTAGTAGCTAAGGGTTTTATCCAAAAGGAAGGAATATATTATAATGAAATTTTTCACCTGTTGTCAAATTTACCACTGTTAGAATCATGTAAGCTCTAGTTGCATTTTATGATTGAGAGCTAAAACAATTAGATGTTAAAACAACTTTTTTACATGGTGAATTAAATGAGAAGATTTATATAAAACAACCTGAAGGTTTTATTGATAAAAATAAAATGAATTATGTTTGTTTGTTAAATAAATCTTTATATGGTGGTTTAAAATAGTCACCTAGACAATGGAATATCAAATTTGATAATTGTATGAAAAATTTTGATTTTATTAAAAGCAAATTTGATTATTGTTTGTATTTTAAAACTGTTAAAGACCAACCTATTTTTCTTCTCATTTTTGTAGATGATATGTTGATCATTAGTCAATGTTTAAAACCTATTGGTCACGTGACTAAGTGCTCATGTGATAATTTTGACATGAAACTGTTGGGTGATGCTAAAGTAATTTTAGGAATGTGTTGCACTAGAGATAGAAAAAATTCAAGACTGTTTTTAAATCAGTCTACTTATATTTCGAAAATACTTAAGAAATTTTCTATGAGTGATGCTAAATCTGTTTATGTTCCTAGGCCAGATTTAGCTTATGCTATTAGTTGTTTAAGTAGGTATATGCCGAATCCGGATTTAGAACATTGACATGCATTGGGTGTTTAGATACTTAGTTGGTACAATAAATGTTGGTCTTGTGTTTGGAAAATATACTAAAAATATTAAATTAGAGGGTTTTGTGGATTCAAATTATGCAAATGATAGAGATAATAGAAAAAGTACAACTTTTTATATTTTTACTTTATGTGGAACTTGTATAAGTTGGAAATCTCAATTGCAACATATTGTAGCACTATCCACAACAGAATCTGAATATGTTGCAATAACTGAAGCTTTAAAAGAGGCATTGTGGTTAAAAGGGTTAATCAGTGAATTAGGTTATTTACAACATATTATTACTGTTTTTTCAAATAGTCAGTCGGGAATTCAATTGTGCAAAAACCCTGTATTTCATGATAGAACCAAACATATTAACGTACGTTTTCATTTTATATGTGATATTGTATCTAAAGGAATTTTAAAATTAGAGAAAATTTCATCTGAATATAACCCATCGGATATGGGTACTAAAGTTTTGACTGCAAATAAATTTGTATCTTGTATGAAATACATACATTGTGATACCTTTGATTAGCATTGTACTACTTAGAGTAGTAGGTAGGCTAAATTAATGTTTTACTAACATTATGTGGTTTCTTCTTGTATGCAGACAAATATATGGGCGATGATAAACCCCTATTTACTCGGACAAAAAATCAGGTGGACGATTTGTTGGATTTTTTGATCCAATTAGATCCACCCCAATATAAACACACACACACACCTAATTATGCAGCCCAATTTAGACCCTGGCCCCGATCCACGACCCGCACCCGCGACCGCCACCCTGAACCGCATTCATACTTACCTGACCCGTGACCCGGATCTGACCTGCGATCTCTGACCCGCTCCGCTTTGGATCCGCGTCTTCTTGCCTAGACTCGATCGTGGCCGTCCATTGTGGATCTACATCCTGGCCGTCCGTCTCTTATTACCTTGAGTACATATATGAAGAGAGAGAGTTCATCTATAATTATCCAATCTCATCCCTCTCTCTCTAAACCTCATCTTCTCTAGCTCACCCCTCTCTCGACCTCTCTGTTTGCCTTTCCCGGTGACTATTTCGGTGGTTTCACGGCGGTTCTCGGAGGCGCTTCCTCCTGTAACTTGTGGAGGTTTTTTGGCGTGGTGTTTCACCCCCCCGGTTGTTGTTCGTAGCCGCAAAGGGCTCGTTTGACTTGTAGGCGTTTGTATTTTCTTTTGTTTCGCCTTGTATTGATTTGTGGGGGTTGATTTGTGCGCGAGTTGTGTATTTCGGGCCGGTCGTTAGTGTGTAGTCGTTAGTTAGGTGATTTTTTGTGTGTCGATTTACTGTTTCGGGTGGTTAGGGGCCGAGCCTAACCAAAACTAGTATAATATTTGTGTTTTTACTCGATTTCGTTAATAAAATTTTCGGTCTATTTCATATTTTTCTATTACAAATACAACACATGAACTAATAACACTAACTAACAACACATGTTATAGTCTTATACACCACAATCCATACTTTTTCAACATACTACATACTGTTATACAACACATTTATAATTATGAACCAATAATACAAATATAACACATGAACTGACAACCCATATTATAGTTTTATACAACACAAATACTAATTAATTTCAGCACACCATATACTGTATACAACACACTATCATTATGAAGCAACATGATATGCCATTATTATACTATGTATAATAAGACTGTTTGTATATAACACGGTGCTGATTTGAAAAATTAACAATTTTTCAATTCAACACCCTAACCGTTCCTATTACACACTCATTATTTTTATATTATTTATCTTTTCTTATTCTTCATATTAAAAATTTAACTCCAAAATAAAATATAAAACACATTTTAAAATAATATTATAATTCATTATTATTAACTAAAAAAATATTTTCTCTGTCTTATTTCAAAGTTCTCATCTACTATTTTCGTTCATGTCACTCAAAACTATCATTTCATTTTTTTGATAAAAATAATAAGTTAATACCAAAATATTTTCACTTTTACTTAAATTAAAAATATATATAATTATATATACAATTATTTTTTCTATAAAATAAAAAAGTTTAAAATCTATTACATATCTTTATTACCTAATAATTACTTATACAATTATTTTTTCTATAAAATAAAAAAGGTTAAAATCTGTTACATATCTTTATTACCTAATAAAATATTATTCCTTATTACACTATTACAAAAATTCAAAACAACCACTGTCAAATGGACATAAGAGTATAATTATCTTAAATATCACTAATTCCATTGTTCCTAAAACCAGGGAACATTTTAGCAGATGCGTGCTGTAGACTAGTATTATTGTAAAATATTGGAATAATAAAAAAATCAAAATAAAATCAGACCTAGGCACCATCGTAGCTCTTGCTAGCTCGGCCGACGGCCTGCCACCGATCTACGCCTCTTTACAGCGTAAAATTTTAACTTCGATTGATTTTGCTATTAAAAGTAGATTGTTGATCAGCTGTAAACAAGTGGAAAATTGAGCCATATTTCGTAAGCAAGAGGAGTAGATTGTAGGAATGATCGTGATACATAGAGGAAATTAAAAACGAAAGGTTTGGGGTCCATGGCTAAATGTTGAAGTGGGGAATTATTACTAAACCCATTCCAGCAAGATTGATCTCTGAGTTTGTCGGTACTTTCTTCGTCATCGATTGATGAATTATACCACCGGTCTCTGTCTTCTTCGTATTATCGTCAATGGCTTCTTCGAGTTCCGGCAGTTCCATACCTGCTCCAGGTAAGGAAAGCTGCTTTATTCCACAACAGCACAACATTATCGGTTTCTCGTACTCTATTAAAGCGCTTTTTTGTTTTTGTTTGATTTTTTTATTCAGAGGCCGTTCAAGTTCTTGTCTCGTCCCTGGCGGATGATTCCTCGGTGGTTAGGGAAGCCTCGGCTGCTACCCTCAAAGACGTTGCTTATATGTAAATTTGACTCCTGATTTACCCCAATTTGGTGGAACTTGCGGAAAAGCCTAGTTTTTTTTATGGATATTTGGTTCTTGATATAGAATTCAACTTTGCGGGTCGAAGTTGCAATTGCTTCCATAAATTCTCTTGAGTTTTTAGTTAGACAAGTGTGATTGGTCAATGATAATCTCTAGAAACCCTAGGATGTGTTTGTTTTGTGTTTTGAGTTTGAGGTGTTTTTGATGTGAGGTATAGTAATATAAAAAATGATATTTTGCGTTGAAATGTTAATCTTTTTTAGTGGATAGAGTATATATATATTGTATTTTTCTATAATATTAATCTAAAAGACGATTGAAAAAAATTGTTGGGTGAACACACCCTAGTCTGAATTGAGTTTTTTGAATAAGTCTGTTTGAATGCTTGTTCAGTTTGAAGTATAAGTTAATTCAATTCTTGTTTCTAGGAATCCCCTCCTTGTTCTTGACTGTTGTTCGACTGTTTCGCGGGGTGGCAGAAGGGTAATGCCATGTTTTCGACACCTTTATAACATATGTTATCAAGTGTTATAGTCACGAGCCACGGACTAATATGATATTTCCTGTTTTCAGAAATTTGGGAACATAGCAGGTTTATTTCAAGTTATGGCTGTGGCAATTCGGGCATTAGATAAAGATGATGTTGATCCTCAGTTTATGACAAAACTTGCCAAAATAGCCACGGCTGAGATCATCTCAACCAAGGTATGTTTTTTGTGGTATTCTCCTCTATTTTGTCATTTAATGAATAAGTTTCTTGCTTTGTTACTTTGATTATCTCGTTTTACTTCTATTTAATGATACTCTACTTATCTTACTAAGTCTATCTGTGGTAGGAATTTAATGGTGATTGGCAAAGGGCTGCATTTGGTGTACTTGTTGCTTTAGGTTTGCACCTGCCAGATCTTGTAAGTATGCCACAGTTGTACATATTTCAGAGATGAAGTACATGTCATTACTTTTATACTATTCTATTCTATTCACCATATCTTTGAAATAGATTGTTAGGAACAATTACATCGAGAAGTGAGTAGACGTAAATAGTTTATGGAAAAAGAGCACACACACACACACAAAACATAAAAAAAAAAAAAAAAAAAAAACTCAGGGAAAAACCCCACCAAAATTTTGATTACCCAGTATATCCCAGAGCATATCAAGTACAAGGACAAAGATTAACATAATCTTTGTCATTGCTTGCTTTCAAGTAGTGACATAGAGAATTACTCAGCGACACATTCTTTTGATTTTTTATGTTGATATAATTAAAATAAAATGCAGAGTTTTGTGATATTTTTTGTTCAAAAGAAGCATTAATTTTCATAGTTGCTTTTCAAATGATGGGGGAAGTTTTAGTGTCACAAGAAGCATTAATTTTTATAGTTGTTTTTCAGATGATGGAGGAAATATTTCTACATCTTTCTGGATCTAATTCAGCTTTCCCAGCAATGGTTCAAATACTTGCTGATTTTGCCTCATCTGATGGTATGCTAGAATTCAGTTACTTCATTAGAAAGGTGTATATTTCCAAATTTATTTTTTTGTACTGGTTTATTAGTGCCCTTTCTTTTCTGAAGCTATTCAGTTTGCTCCACGCCTGAAAGGCATACTTGCAAGAGTTCTGCCTATTCTTGGAAATGTGAAAGATGTCCACCGGCCAATCTTTGCAAATGGTACTTCTACATTTTTGTATTGGTGTTGTATTTACGCTTTTAAAATGTGGCTAGTTGTGTTAAGTTCAATACATATGATGTTTTAGTAGACTGCATCTGACATGCGAACTACGGGGGTGTGTCTACTTGAGGGATTTTGGAATGATTTTACTATTTCAATCTTCTTTTCACCCAAAACATCAAATCAAATATCTAATTTTTTTTTTTTAATTATATTACACTAAATTTAATTTTACATTCAAAATATCACATCAATACATATTTATATCATATCAAACAACTATTTCATTCAAAATTTTCCTATTCAAAACGAAAATCTCACAAGTAAACACACCCGTACATTATTTCTGACACGATTAAATATAAAAAAAATGCATGAAGATGATAGGTTGACTAGGGGAGATGATGATATCCCCCACATGTAACTTTAGTGGAATGGAAGCAAAATCTTATCTTCATTGTAAGGATTAAACTGCTATCAATGGGTTGTGGTTTATGATATTCTGATTTTCTGTCTATTGATGCAAATGCCTAGCATCAATAGATGTCTTTTTAGGATGATCATTATGATTCTCAATGCTTCAATCTTGAAAGAAATGCCATCTCAATCACATCATGACATTTCAATGTAGATAGCATATTGTATTTTTATGATACATGTATGTTGAGGGAAACATTTGTGCTTTCACAGCATTTAAATCCTGGTGTCAAGCCTGTTGGCAATACAGTGTTGATTTCCCACTCTCCACGGCTGTTGATGGTGATGTTATGTAAGACATGTTTGCTGTCTTTTTTCCAGATATTGAATGACTTGATCTTTGAATTTTCTAGTGATTGTTACTTTTGATTTCAATTTGCCAATCTGGTGCAGGTCTTTCCTGAACTCTGCATTTGAGCTTCTATTAAAAGTTTGGGCAAATTCACGAGATCTGAAGGTTTTTATTTTTCTCATATGTTATTAGTTTCTTCATCTAGATTCTTGACTTAAACCTTTCTATATATCTAGGTCAAAAACTTACTGCATAATTGTACTTGTCTTTTATTTTATCTTGAATCGTCCTATATATTTTTTTTGGTAAGAGACATATTAGATTAGGAAATAGAAGGAACAAGATACAGGGGGAAATACAATAAATTAAAGCCAAACAATGAGATTGGAATGCCCTTGGGCACCTAGGGATGCAAACAAGCGGGTTCTGGATGGGTTCTTCAGGCCACAAAACCTGGCCCGAAATATTTCAAATTTCTAGTACTTTGAATCATGGCTTCTCAAGTTTATTTTTTGGTAGTAAATTACATTACTAGTTGTTATGGGTTTCTTAGCTATATTCTTGCTCTCCAATGTGACTTCTTCCAGAGGGTTAAAGCTTGGGAAAATTATGACATTGTCCTTTCTTTTATCTTATCCAACTCTTGATGGATGAAATATTGATTAACTGAGAAGTCATAACAAATGATCTCAACCTTGCAACTCAGCCTTTTGTGAACTGGAATGTAACTTATAATTGTTCTTTTCATGTTTTGATTGCCCATGTAATAATGATTTTCAAATAAAATGGCTTCTTAGCTTTTACCCTATTCAAAACGTTCTGAAATTTTATGGGAACCATTCAGTCTAAAGGACACTTATCACCGTTGAGCCTAGATCACAAAGAGAATGACTTGCAAGGTCTATAAAACATTATTTCTTGTTATTCCATCATTTGGATGTGCAGTGACAGTTCCTGGTATATTTACTGTGTGCTTATATTTCTGTTTATGTAGGTCCGGGTGTCTACTGTTGAGGCTCTAGGTCAGATGGTTGGTCTCATTACCCGGACACAGCTGAAGTCGGCTTTGTCAAGACTTGTTCCAACTATTTTAGGATTGTAAGCTTTTTCAATTTCTTCTAATGCATGTTTGCAACTAAAATATTCAAGGCACTATGTTCACTAGTCTTTAAATTTGTGATTGCATGTCCCAGACTGATCTGAATTTATTATACTTTTTCTGTCATAGTGTCATCCCTTTTTCTTGACTATATAGGTATAAGAAAGACCAGGATGCTGCTTATGTGGCTACATTTAGTCTCCACAATCTCTTGAATGCTTCATTACTTTCAGAAAGCGGTCCACCTTTGCTGGATTTTGAGGTTGGTAAATATTGTCTGAATCTTGCTAAGAATTCCTGAAGTTAAGGTTGTTTTGTATGTGCTTGCTGTCAATATTATGCATAGAAATTGAGACTTTCATTTTCTTTCTTCTTTGAGCTTTCTGATATGTTGTCTGTTGAGCTCTCTAAATGTGGCTGTTTCTTTTTGATGTTATTGTCGCTTAGCTACCGGCTAAATATGATGTATAATTTCTTAAATGTAATTATTGCTCTGATTGAATGAGGTACACTTTAATCTTTTTTTAACAATATAGTTTTTTAATTCTCCTCCTTACAATGCACAGAAGTAAAATCTTGGAAGCATTCTGTTGAAATTTGAAAGGAAGAGGTTTGCGCAAATTAATTATACTAATTCCTTGATTGATGATATAAAATTGCTTTGGACAAACTAAAATGTGTAAAAAAATGGTGTACCTAATTATGTTTAATAGTAGGCTTAGAGATTTTGTTCCTTCTTAGTGGTTAATGTATGGGCTTATCCAGAAGCAACACACTTCACTCTTATCAATTTATAATTTCGACCCTTATGATGGTTTTACCATGGTTAGCACTATAAGTTTCTGCACTTGGCAAAAGAATGTTACACCTGCGTGCCTCAGTGTTGTACATAGTTTTGCGAAAGAGTAACATATTCCTCGGAGAGTTTTCTGTTATTGCTTGATTTATCAAATCAAATTACATCCATTTATTTCCTTCTAGATGTCATGGATGTACATTCAAACTTTTCAGGATCTTACTGTCATATTATCAACACTTCTTCCCGTGGTTTGCATCAATAATGACAGCAAGCAGCATTCAGATTTTTCAGTTGGGCTGAAGGTAGAGTTGTGTGGTTGTGGTGAATCTGTATTTTTTGATGTTTATGAGTTTCAAAATAAAGAATTGCAGGGTACAGTTATCCTTAATTATCTCTGTGAATTGTCTCCCTACAATCCCATGATTTAGCATTCTCATGTTGATAATTCTTTTCTTTTGGGCAATTTTCCTCATGCTATTAATTGTAATATTTATTCCTATTTCCTCTTACCTTCTGATGGTTAAATGTTCTGTTTTACGCTTCCATATTTACATGTTTCTCTTACCTACAGAACATGATGTACTTTTATTTCCCCTGTCTGCTCTACAGAACTTGATGTACTTACACTTCTTGCCTATCCTCGTCTGTTAAGAGTCTATCTCCTCCTTTATGCTCTTTGTTTTCATCATGATATATAATCTCTTTTCAACAAAAAAAAAAAAAAAATAATAATAAAATAAAATAAAATAAAAAAGAAGAAAAAAGGAAAAAAAAAATTCAATTATGTTTTTAATACTTATTATACATTGGATGATCTATATATTGTGAAGAACTTTGCTTGGAGTTTGATGAGATGCCTTTCTAGAGTTATATTTTCCTTGTTTGGTATAGCACTGGTATCTCTCTCTCTCTCACCATTCTCTTTTTTGTACTTGGTTTTCTATTTGACATCTAATTCTGGGAACTTTTTCTTCGATAGCTGATCTCATCATCTTGTTGCTGCAGACCTATAATAAAGTTCAACATTGTTTTCTCACGGTTGGCCAGGTTTACCCAGACGATTTGTTCACTTTCCTTCTCTATGTGTGTATTATTTCCATCAAGTTATTTTTACATGAGCTCTATTAATTATGAACTATCTCAAAGAGGTTAAGATCTCCAAAAGTGTGATCCTTGACAAAAAGTAAACCTGAACATGATTTGAGAAGGAATAGAAACTGTGAAAGAGATAGTTCAAAGTATAGTTGTCTCACAATGTTATCTGTTGGTGTTCCAGAAATGCAAGTTGAAGGAAGAACCTCTAACTTTTGGTGCACTTTCAGTGCTAAAGCATCTTTTGCCTAGGTTGGTTTTGCCATATTTTTCATTTGTTAGAATGCCCCACCTTTTCTTTTAATACGCTTTTCATTATTTTCATTTGAAGATTGTCTGAAGCTTGGCATACTAAAAGGCCTCTTCTAGTGGAAGCAGTGAAAAATTTGTTAGATGAGAGTAATTTGGCTGTTTGCAAAGCACTTGCTGAGGTAGTGTCTCCATGAAAATTCTCATGTTTGAGTCTAAATTTTAGTTGCTTTATAGTTTTTTATGCTTTCATTGTTGTTTCTCTGGTTGTAGTTAATTGTCGTCATGGCTTCGCACTGTTACTTGGTTGGTTCAGCAGGAGAGTTATTTGTGGAATATTTGGTACGCCACAGTGCAATGCCATATGTGGACAAGGAAGATAATGAAAATCCTAAGGAATCTATTAGGTTGACTGGCTCCTACTATCCATTCCTACACAAGAAACCAGAGGTTTGACTTTCCTCTGAATATTTAAGATATGTTTTTTCCTGAATATTTAAAAGTTTCCTTGACCTGTATTGTTGCTTCAATTATAAATGTTCTCTTTTTATATATTATTATTATTATTTTTTTCTCAAAGACCAATGCTCTCACATGTATATCGCTCCATCTACATAAATGCGAATATGTTTGTAATTAGAAACTCATTTGTATTATGTGATTTGTATTTTTAGACCTTATGACATTGATAATTTCTCCAATGTGTAAGTTTATATATTTTTTTAATCAAATAAGTCAAATGTTCTTTCCATTGAGCTGCTTCATTGTACATGTATGACCTTATGAAATTGATAATTTCTCCAATGTAAATTAATAATTCTTTTGATTAGATGAGTTTGATGGTCTTTCCATTGAGCTGATTTAGTTTACATGTTATGTTTTATGTACTTGGTATCATTTGCAGTTAAAGGTTGGAGGAATATGCCCAGCAGATTTATGTGAAATATATGATAAAGGTCTTCTTCTGATAACAGTTACCATTCCTGAAATGGAGGTAGAGCTGGTTGTCTATTTCTCTTGTTCAGTGTCCAACTATATTTAGTGCCATTATTGAGATGGAGGTAGCGCTCGTTGCCTATAAATGTATATTTTTTAATATATATATTTTTATTTGATTCCCAGCATGTGCTTTGGCCATTTTTGTTGAAAATGATCATACCGAGAATTTACACTGGAGCAGTTGCCACGGTACGATCTATTTGGTGTATTTTCTGTGAATTGCAGTTTTACCTTTTGATCCCTTGATTCTGCTAAGAAATTTTCTGTTACTTGTGGCTGTGATCCTCTGTTTATCAGCAATAATTTTGGAGTTAGTAAACAGAATTTATCTCTCAGTGATCTAAAATCTTCTTCCACAGGTTTGCAGATGCATCTCAGAATTATGCAGGCATAGACATACTCAAAGTGATACTATTCTTTCTGATTGTAAATCCCGTGAAGATATTCCTAGTCCTGAGGTTAGGATGAGTGTACTTCTGTGTTGTGCTCTTTGATTAAACACATAACATTAAGTTTTTTCTATTAATAAATTTTAGGATCTTTTTGCGCGTCTTGTGGTGCTTCTTCACAATCCACTTGCAAGGGAGCAGCTGGTGACTCAGATTTTAACTGTGAGTTTGCTTACTCCAAATCCTAAAATATGAAGCCTATATGCTCTTATTTAAATTTCCTTTTCCACAGATTGGTAAACACAATTTGAGAACTTGATTATATAGTATTACTAATTCTATAACATAAGCATTTACATAGTCATTGATTCATACATCATTGTATAGTAAGCTCCGTGTCGGATGGTGTTTTTACTATGATGCTTGGGATATATAATGCTGATTGTTACATTTTGAGAGAATTTCTGAGATGTTTATTAATAATGAAATTAGGGCCTTATACAAAAGATATAAACTCAAATAATAATCTAATCTAATAGATATTGCCTAAATAATAACAATCTAATCTAATGGATATGTTTAAATAATAGCTATTAAATCTAAACATATCAACCAAAATATCTATCTATAACATATAACATCCCGTCTCAAACTCAGTTGGTGTTTTAGTAGCCAACTCGAGTTTGGCAGAAGAGACTAGAAGTCGAGTTTGAATATGGATGGACTTCATAATTGGGAATTAGTTTTTAGAGCATTCAAATCGATTTTTTGTCGTGGTGGCGGCCAGAGTCCGCGGCAACAAAATTGTGGACCATTTTGACTGGTGTTGACCAAATGTTGACCGACGCAAGTAACTCATATGTGTTGTTTTTATGATGATATTTGGTGGCAAACATCGTCTCAAAATTAGGAATACAGTGGTTGTGGTGGTGGTATAAGTCAGATGCATTGAAAATGTGACAAATAGATGAGATTAGAATTAGATATATATTTTCAAAGTGGTAGTGGATCTCATATTCGAAAGGTAGTCCTTTGGGTACATTCCAAGTTACAGGGATGTACTCGGAGAAAATGTGGTTTTGATACCATGCTACATTTCAAAGAATTTTTTTGAGATATATTAATAATGAAATTAAGATCTATTTATTATAGATCTTATATAAAAGAGAGACTCAAATAATAACCTAATCTAGTAGATATGCCTAAATAATAACAACCTAATCTAATAGATATACTTAAATTATAACTATCAAATCTGAATATATCAACCAAAATATCTATCTACAATATATCTTAACACAGATGATTTCATAACTAATGTTTTATCCCTGTTGTTAAAATTGCTTCTTTTGGGAGCTTGTATAATTAAATCCTACTTTGTTATGCAAGCCCTTCCTGACTAAATAAAGTTCATTTATTCATAATTTGAATTTGGTCTTTTGCAGGTCCTACAACACTTGGCATCCCTATTTCCCAAAAATATCATCTTATATTGGCAAGACGAGGTATATAAAAATTCAAATCAAGAGCTTGGCATCAGTTTTCACAACAATTTGCCAACTATAGTTTTCCTGGAACATCCTTGCCTTTTGGATTTTAGGGATGATAAATATGCAGTAGCTAGGTCTGTGTGCTAATTATATTTTTAATTCAGCCACTTCTATAATGTTTAAAGTGTCTTGTCTCTGAAGTTTGCATATGCCTATGGCTTGAAGGATGCAATTTTGTTGTGAATACTGGTCTATAGTCTTGTTATGTCTTATTCTATTTTTGCAATAACAGTACCTTGAATGTGTGTGGTGTAAACAAATTACAATGTTCTAACTGTTTTGTCTGTTTTGTAAGCTCTAGATTCCCAAAATGAAAGTGTATGTGAGTGATCCAGAAGACCTGAAGCAAGATCCTTTATTCCAAGAGACTTGGGATAACATGATTATCAATGTGAGATCTGGTTTCTCTATTAATGATATTTTTGTAAAATGATGTATTTTACTTTTCATTCAATATATAGGTGTGGAGCATATTTAGAACTATCTATGTATTACCACCTCAGATATATATGTATATTTAATATTTATTTATTTGATCTTATGAATAATGCTAAACTCTCTAAATATACTTGGACTTTAAATTTTTTTATGATGAAGTGATTTGGTGTGTTCACTTTGTGTTTTTTGATGAATGTGCTTTTATGTTAGGTACGTGGAATCGTATCGGTAATATAAAAATAATATATATTGTGTTAATATGTATATTGTATTTTCTAATAATATTTACAGGAAGTCTGGCCACCTAAAAATAGGTTGGGTGAACAAACCCTAAGTTTCTTTAGTTTGTACTATCTGTTTTATCCATGTTCTTTCTTTGCTGAAAAGACATGCTGATTGAATGCGGGAGTAGCCTGAATAGATATCAAGATCAACTTGGTAGACAACTTATGCATGCGTGTTGCTAATATACTATTTTGTTTCTGTCCAAAAGTTCCTTTCAGAATCGTTGGATGTGATTCAGGATGTTGACTGGGTGATTTCCTTGGGAAATTCTTTTGCTAAACAATATGAGCTCTATTCATCTGATGATGAGCACTCAGCACTTCTTCACAGGTTCTATGGATTATGTAATACAATTATCATTTCAAGATTTGATTAGGTTCATGCTTTTATGAATCTGCATTTGGTGTGAATGATCTCTCTCTCTCTCTCTCTCTCTCTATATATATATATATATATATGTATATACACATATATATTCCTTGTTTTTTGATTTTGTTAATTAAGAAATGTTTTTGATGTCATCAGCCCATATTTTTGTTCTTTCCTTGTACAGGTGCCTTGGCATTTTGCTACAAAAAGTACATGATAGAACGTATGTTCGTGCTAAGATTGATTTGATGTACTTTCAAGCTAACATAGCTTTGCCAGTCAATAGGCTAGGTTTGGCGAAGGCCATGGGATTGGTAATCATTCTTCACATAGAATGCAGTTTGTTGAGCTAGGAAACTTAATTTCATGTAGATTTTTACTAAGAAATGTTGTTTAAGTGTTTATTCTCACGGCTTGCTGTTTCAATATCTAGGTTGCTGCATCCCACTTGGACACTGTGCTGGATAAGCTGAAAGGAATTCTTGACAATGTTGGTGAAAACATCTTCCAGAGGTGAATATTCTGGTCTTGTACAGTTCTCTATATTTTGTAGAGGGGACACAATAAATTGCTATAATTGGTTTCTTAAGTATTTCTTTGGTGGCTATTGATCATTGCTATGCTGTACTCATAAGGTGGTACAACATGTGATTGATTATTACCTGAAATTAATTTTGTCTCCAGTGTTTTTGAATTCATCTGTTGGGCTATCTTGAAATATTCTTAGTAGCACGCAACATCAATTGGAATGCATTATACTACTATGTGCAATACCTCATTAAGTCTATATGCATATTTGCTTGTGTGCAGGATTTTGGCATTCTTTTCTGATAGAGCTAAGATGGAAGAGTCAGATGATATTCATGCTGCTTTGGCTCTTATGTATGGCTATGCCGCAAAGTATGCTCCATCAACAGTTATTGAGTCCAGAATAAATGCACTTGTGGTATGGTAGAATCATCTGCTCTTTCTCTCCCTCTTCTCTAAAAAAATGTGACTACGAAGAGTCATTTTTGAAAATCACATTTATGTATGTGAGCATGTGCATTTAATTTCATACTACGAGATTCTTCAGAATAAATATATTATATAAGAAATATGGACAGTTTTTCTTTCTACTGCCAAGGGCTTGAAACTTTCACAGCACATGAAATTTAATAAAAGTAAATAGTCTAACTATATTAGCTGAACCAAATATATATATGTATATATTAGAAGAGTCTTAATGTTAAATCATGTGCGTGATTGGCATGGGCATGTTTACCATGCGTAACCATATTGAGTGCCAACGGACTGCTAGTTTCTTGTGAATTCGTGAATATGGAAGGGGTTGTGTTCTTCGGTATGATTTTTTGTTATGCTTCTTTGTTAAGTAACTAAGTCCATCGGTCTAACTTAAGGATGTCAGTAGGTACTTGGCAGCCCGAGACCCGACCTGTATATTGGTACATAGACTTGACAATACTTGAACCTGAGTGGACCAAAGCTAGACTTGAGTGGATGATATAAATGAAATAAGGATAAGCAAAATCAAACAATATCAATCGTTTGCCCAAAAATCATCAAACGGTACCAACCGTTTGCTCAAAGCCTGACGGCTACTTTATTTTCAAAATTCCAGAATGATAGTCAACCCTAATTACTTCTTAAATATTACTCATTCCGTCCTACATACCCAAGCCCAACAATATTTTTCATGTTGGTTTGTCCTACATACCATGCAATATTTTTAAAATAGGAAATAATTAATTACACTTTATTTCATCACATCACTCAAATAAAAAAAAATAAATACATTTTTTTCTCTCATTACATTATCTAATTCCCAATATATTAGTACTTAATAGTACCCACTTAAATTATCGTGCCGGAAACCAAATATTTCACCGTATGTAGGACGGAGGGAGTATTACCTAAACTCTACTTACTAAAGATAAAAAAAGTCCATCCAAAAACTAAAGGGCAAGCCTAACTCAAAATATAATATATTATAGAAAAACAAGTAAATAAAATCTAAACTCCCAAACAGCAGGCTTAAGCCCATCCCCGTCGCCAATACACAAGTATCGGCCAAGACTCCGTTTTCTCTTTAATCTTAACTTCATACCCTTTTCAATTTTGCTTTAGATCAATTTCATCCCTCTTCAAATCGATCATCCCCAAGGTTGAAGTATGAGAACTGAAGTAAGCTTTGATGTTCCTTTTGTTTTCCTCCCTCATGGGCTCGATCCAACATCTTTTGGGTTAGGGTTTGGTCACCCGTTAGAACTACTTAGCCGCCCTTCCACTCAAAGGACATAGTAAAAACTTCCCAATTTGTTTGAACATTGCCCAATGTGGCTTACCTAGTTACACGAAAATAATATCAACACCCTCGAAGGGAAATACAAAACAATTGGTTGTTACCTCACAACCTTGTAATGAGACTGTAACATTCCGGCATAATCCTTTGGGTTCCTATCTTCATCTATCCCTAACCTAACTACAAATTTTTTCTATACGATCGGATGGTAATCGTATAGTGAGTACTAAGAACGAAGATATAAGGTTGTGACTAGGGCCATTATCAATTAATATTATTGCCTTCTTTCTTCGCACAACTCCATGCAATCACATAGTCCGTTGGCTCGGAAAGCCCTCTACAAAGAAAAATGCGAAGGTCCCCTATTCTGCTTGCTCTCCTATTCAATCTTCATTAAGTACATAATATTCGAACTGTCGAAGATCTAAGACCTCTTTGTCTTCTTCATCTATCACGACTCGCAATTGTTTGAGAGCGCGTTCATGTTTTGGGGTGTATGGTTTCTTGCAGCAAAACATAGTTCATTGGCTCGCAATTCAACAAATTCTTGGGGTAAGAAACGGGTAAATCGATTCCGGACAGTTGACTCACTAGTTGCCTCCAATTGAGCCAGAGAAGGATGACCGGAAGGTTCGCTAATAGATCCTTTGTGGTTGGCCCCTATTCTTGAAACCTTAATCATGTTGCTTGGTAGGGACATAGAGCTCGCGTGCGGTGTCGGGCTTCTCAAATTTTGATATGAGTGTCTGTCAATTTGCACTTGAAGATTATCCTCAATGTTTTTGGACAACTCCAAGGCCAGCTGTCTCAATGTCTCTGGCCGAAGAAGTCAGAGGGAACTTCGAATCGAGTCCTTTAGACTTTTCACAAAGTAGCCCAGATGGTGCGTATTTGTCAAATCTGAAAGTTGGCTAGCCAATTGAACAAATAAAGTTACATATTCATCCACCGATCCTTGTTTAATGTCTGCCAATCGTTAAAAATGACTGCCCTTGAAATGCATATTAAATTTGGCTACCAGCACTTGCAAAAATTCTTACCTATGTCAGCTCCGGTTTGTAAGAGAGTTACCAAGTTGACCAGTACAATGCAATTTATTCCATGGCCACCACAGCCGATGGCACTTCATCTCTGAATTAGTTTTATGAATCTCAAACTCTTGATTGGTGCGGGCAACCATTCTATCGGATCTGAAAAATTAAATGATAGAAGTTGCACAAGGCCTCTTGGCAATTGGAAGTCAATCACCGGCTGCAGTGGCACAGCCTCCGGGGATGGCAGTGTTAGTTGCAGTGGCGCGGCTGTCAGTTGCTGCGATTCCGAGGGTATTAGAATCACCTTTGAGAATTCAGTAAGAGTCGCCATAATCTCGGCTGCTAGGATGTTAGTCGCCTTCATGTTATTCTTCATCTCGGCTTGATCAACCTCCAGTTTGTTCATTCACTCTCCTGTTGATCTTGTTGTTACATTGACACAAGGATCGGGATCTGGGATGTTACCGATTGATAAAAACAAAATAAAAGATAAGAAAAATCAAACGTAATCAGTAATTTGTTCAAGAATAATCAAACAATACCAACCATTTGTCCAAAACCTTACGACTGCTCTATTTTCAAAATTCCAGAATGATAGTCCTAAATCCTAGTTACTACTTGAATAATATTAGCTAAACCCTACTAATTAAAGATAAAATAATTCCACCCAATAACTAAAGGGCAAACTCAACTCAAAATATAATATATTAATAGATAGGAAAGTAAATAAAATCTAAACCGTAAACAAAAGACCTAAAACCCATCATCGTTGTCAATACACAAGTATCGGCCGAGATTCCGTTTTCTTTTAATCTTAACCTCATAGACTATTCAATTTTGCTTTCTATCAGTGGACCTGACCAAACCCAAATATTAAAAAATTGGCAATTCAATTTTAAACGTATACCTTACCAGACCCGACCCAAACACAATGTTCTTTTTATGATTAATATATATATATTTAAAATTAAAAATGTAAGGAAGAATTATCGAAACAATATTAAAAATTTGAAAATATAGGCGACATTAAAATGTAAAAACTAATGATAAAATGATATACTTCTGTAATAGAATGAGATAACATTATATATTGTATGTATATGAAAATAATAACATATTCAGGTCGGGTTCGGGTAGGGTTTGACACCCAACCCGGACCCAATTATTTTTACATTTTATCAGACCTTTTCCTAGCTCGATACCTGAATCATAAGACCCTACCCTGATTAAATGAGTTGAGGCTCGGTCGCGTATCAGGTCTATCTTGACCCATTGCCATCACGAAAAAGGAATTTTACAGATAGTACATAGGCAAAAATGTAATAGATACCCAGGCTACTAACAGAAGAGGATCACAAGCATACTGGTAAAACATCTGGTAAAACATTTCATAACTTGTTTCTAACCAGGCTACAGGAAGATTTAAGGGTGTGACTAGATATGTTTTGGAAGTATTTTGAAGTCTTGGAGAGTATTGAAAATAATAAAAAGTTGAATAAAAAAGTAGGTATATAATGTGATGTAAATAGGTATTGGATATGAAATTTTATATGGAATATAGGATTTTAACCCAATATTTTAATTAAAAAATAGGTGTTAGATATTGATATATCTTAAAGAGAGAAATTTTGAAGAAAAGTGTCAAAACTATAGTTGGAAACATATGTAAAATTTCCATCTCCAATAACCTGGTGAATATCTCTCTGAATAGTGTTGGATGCAAAGTAGTTTTCTTAAATAATAAATTTATTCAAGCATTTTAGATAAATTGCTGTCATTGTGGAATATCTTAATATTTATTGTTGTTTAACTGACTTGAAAGACATGTAATTTCTTTTATCTTTTGTCAGTATTGAGTGGTCTAAATGAAGTAATGAACACATATTTTTGTAAATTTTGATTACATTTAACATGTTGATACGTTAATGATTTTGATTCCAATATGAAACAGATAATGGAGATAAATTATGCATTAGGAGTGTGTGACCCTGTATTTATTTACACGTATTTGTTAATAGCTTAAGTGAAGTGGTGCATGGACCATTCTTTTAAGAATGATTTGTTGGAATAAAAATATCCGTATGTAGTAGTGAACTGATGATGCTTGTTCTTCTACTTCTAGAAAAATATTGTTTATAGTTCTAAAAGAAGCATTTGGGAATCCCTCCCACTCCTGGCTTCATTGTTGATATCCTTTTTTTTTTTGGTTGAAAAAATGTTATATGCTTTTTACATTGCTTGACAGGGTACTAATATGCTTTCCCGACTTCTTAATGTACGCCATCCAACAGCGAAGCAGGCAGTTATCACTGCTATTGACTTACTTGGTTAGTAGATATGGTCACATAAATGTTTATTGTTAGCAGGCTTTGTTTTTAGCTTTTTGTGTTTTAGGAAATTACTGTTACAGTTATTGTTTTTTCCAAGTAATTTGTCTTTTAGCATATTCAATATGGATCTTATGTTCCACCAGGCTGATAAATACGTTTTTCCTTTGGTCAAATTTCTACATACTAGTTCAACATAAGTTATTCTTCTAGATAGATATATTTTCTATGTTTTGAAGTGCATGCATCTTGTTAGTTTAGTATAGCAATGAAATAATATTACTAGAGATCAGTGTCTTCTCAAGGAGAATGTTTTTCTTCTGGATATAAATATGATTTTTAGACTGTCAAGAGGCACCGTAAATATTAACCCAAATCATGAAGATGCAGCTGTTGGTAAAGCACATTATTTTAGTTGTGTGGGCATGCTTTATATTTCATAATGCTGAAGTAATTCATACTACGAATGACAACAAATCTTCTGCTCTATAGTTTGATAGGAAATGATTATCCCAGAGGCTCTCACATTTAGTTGATCTACAAGGTATGAAATGAATAATTTTGCCAATGCAGGTCAGGCTGTCATTGGTGCTTCTAAAAGTGGCACATCATTTCCTTTGCAGAGGAGGGATATGCTTCTTGATTACATATTGACATTAATGGGTCGAGATGATGAGGATGGATTTTCCAATTCAAATCTAGAGCTCCTGCACACGCAGGTTTGTTCTGATATTGCATTAATCTGGTGGATATCAATGAATGAGCAGCCATTTTTGACTTTCTTATGCACTAGTATGTACTGTTTGTACTTCATCCACATCTATTGAAAAATACATGTTTGTATTTTATCCTATGTTTGTGTTAGAAAAACTTTTTACCTAGAAATTTATGACACTTATATGCTTTGAACTCTTTAATAGCTCATGACGTCTCTAGGATGTATGTTATCTTTGGTTATTACCTTCTTTTGCTTGCATTTCCTTTCTGTTTCCCTTGATTTTTTTTTTATTTTTTTATTTTTTATTTTTCTGTAATTTTCAGTGCCTTGCCTTGAGTGCTTGCACTACTTTGGTTTCTGTGGAGCCAAAATTAACAATGGAAACGAGGAACCATGTTTTGAAGGTGCAAGTCTATTTAGGTACTGCTTTTTAAATCAAATTTCCTCTTCACTAAAGAATCACATTTCTTACAGGCAACACTCGGATTTTTTGGTTTACCAAATGATCCTCCAGATGTAATCGGTGGCCTTATAAACAACCTTATTACCCTTCTTTGTGCAATCCTTGTTACAAGGTATTCTTCTCATTCTTTTAGTGGTTAAGCATGTGCTTATTTATTTTAAGGAACATTAAAGACTTTTCATGCTTTCATGCCTGTTATATTTTGCGAGAATTTTATGACATATATATTAATAATAAATAAAGTTAGATACTAACAACCTAATCGAGTAGATATATCTGAATAATAACGTAATCTAATATATATAATTACATAATAATTACCAAATTTAAATAATATCAACCAAAATATTTATCTAAAATATATTTTAACACTCCGCCTCAAACTCAAGTGTAGAAGCTAACTCGAGTTTGACAAAAGAAATACGAGGTATAGTTTGAATATGGACAGACTTCATAATTGGGCATTAATATATAAACCATTCAAATCAGTTCTCTGTCATGGCGGCGGCGCTAAACCGTAAGAAATTAGAATTTTGACCAAATTAAGGTTTCTAGTAGCGTTAATTCTGTCACTGGAATGCCCCGGCGATCCTCTATCACAACAACGGTAACCCTAATAAACTAAAGGTTTGGTTAGGTTAGGATTTTTAATGGACAGGATCCTTTGTTGTGGTGGCGACGGACCTTTGTTGTGGCGGCGTCAAATTTAGATTTTTTATGATGGCTATCCTCTATCTCGGCGGCACTGACGATTCTCTGTCGTTGTGACGGCGCAAAACTGTAAGAAATTAAATCCTAATAGCCAGAACTCCGGAAATAAAATTGAACACCAAACCAAACACATGATCAAAAAACCGGAAGCAACTTACAAATAATTGAAAATATCCAATATATAGTCGCCATAAAATTCTAGCAATTGGATACGGGACGCACTTGCATATGGAGCCAAAGTCATTGTTGACCAAACGTTGACCGACACAAGTACAACAAAATTGTTGATTGGCGTTGACAAATGCTGACCGATGCAGTTAACTTACACGTGGGTTTTTTACGATGATATTTTGTGGCAAGTGTTATCACAGAATTAAGAGTACGATGACGGTGGTTTTATAGGTCAAATGCATTTGAAAAGTGACAAATAGGTGGGATTAGAATGGATATGTATTTTTGAAATGGTAGTGGATCTCAAATTCGAAAGGCAGTTCTCCCCGTATATTCCAAGTTATGAGGATGCACCCGGAGAAAATATGGCTTTGATACCATGCTACATTTTGGTAAAATTTTATGAAATATTAATAATAAAACTAGGGTCTAGTTATTGAACATCTATTTTTATTTTTTATATTATAACAAAAATTAATTTTACATTCAAAACATCACATCAATACTTATTTAAATCACATTATACAACTATTCCAATTCAAATTTTTTACTATTCAAATCTCAATTCAAAATCTAAACTCCCAAACAAACATACCCCTAAATAATAAAAGTCTAATCTAATAGATATAATTAAATAATAACTAAAGGTGTATTTGTTTAGGGGATTGGATTTTAAATCCACTATTCATCCAATTTTTTCCCTAAAAAAATATCAAAGCAAACACCTATTTATCATTTTTTAGATTATACTAAAAATCAATTTTACATTCAAAACATTACATCAACATCTATTTATATCACATCATATAACTATTCAAATTCAAAATTTTTACTATTCAAATCCCAACTCAAAATCCAAACCCCCAAACAAACACACCCTAAACAAATCTAAATACTATCAACTAAAATATCTATCTAATATATATTTCAATGATGCTGTTGGTATCCCAAAAATGACCTGATAAAATGGCAGCTTATGCAATAGTTAAGCGGATCAACTCAGCGACCATTTACTTGGGAAATCACAAAAAGTATTCATTTGTTAGTTGATTTGCTTTGTTAGTTATTAGTAGCTTTAATTAGCAAAATTTAGTGTTAGATCGGTGTGCTGAATCAGTTCATTACTCTAGTGCTTTGTGTATATTCATTTCGATGGATCTCTATATATACGCAAGTAATTTAATCTCAATGCACAATTCATTTTTCTCTTTTACCATCGTACAAGATGTGACAACCTGACCCCCAAGCCACGCAAAGTCGGGTGTGTCGGGATTGTAGACTGGCTCTACAGGTCAACGCGAGTCATTCCAACGTGCTTTTGTTCTCCCTCACGCGCACTCTGAGAGACTTTCCAGGGGTCACCAATTCTTAAATTACTCTAGAGTAAACACACTTTTTAACTCCAGAGTTCTTTCAGTAGGGCTTCCGAAAAGGAATGTGCACACTGGTAAGATGAGTAGTCTATTCAATCTATTTAACCTATATTCAACCTCGGATGGCGTAGTACCAGCTCATCCACATAAGTTGACCTAGCACCGGCCCAACTCCGGAGGTATTACACGAGAGCAAAGAACATCTCATGGTGTGTTTGTGCGGGGGATTTTCCCCAAATTTTACTATTCATTCAATTTTTTTTCCCCCAAAAAAATCAAATCAAACATCTATTTTTCATTTTATATATTATACTAAAAATCAATTTTACATTCAAAACATCAAATCAACACCTATTTATATCACATCAACAACTATTCACATTTAAAATTTTTACTATTCAAATTCCAATCCAAAATCCAAAACCCCAAACAAACACTATCAGTTTCTCCGGGGGAGCGTCCGATCTAAAGTGGTTTTACAGAAATCTATGAAGAAGCTGAAGAAGAAGGTGAAGAAGATCTTAGAATAGTCTAATCTAAAAAAGTTGCTCAATACTTATTTCCATTCAATTCAGGTTGGGGCATAGCGGCGACCTCGCCCTACCTTTTTAGTAGATTCTCTTACTTGAAGAACTCAACCGGAGGTCAAAACTTTGGTCCGACAGAAAAACAAAAGGTGTAATTGCAGTCCTTCAATTCCTATGCGGATTGTCCCCAAGGTGGACTTACCAAATCAACCTTCTTAGTCTGAACCAAATTCCTCTAAGGGTGTGTTCGTTTGTAGGATTTTGTCAAAATCCTATTTTCATCCAAAATTTTCCTCCAAAAAAATCAAATCAAACACCTATTTTTCATTTTTTATATTATACTAAAAATCAATTTTACATTCAAAACATCACATCAACACCTATTCATATCACATTATACAACTATTCAAATTCAAAATTTTTACTATTCAAATCCCAATCCAAAATCCAAACCCCCAAACAAACACACCCTAAATCTAGCTCAAAAAATATACTGAATTCAGAGTTGTGCTCCTTTCTTCCATTGACAAGTTCTGTGCTGTTCACCACTTTATATCATTTTCTCTAATTAATCCTTCCTATCCCAATCTAGGAGTTGATCTTATCCTTTACTCTAGGGATATCCGGCGACCATGCCAATGCTGGTGGTATTGCCGGAATACATCTCTCGCATCAGCGGGTAACTCTCACTCGCCAACAGGCTCCATCCAATCTTGATCGAAATTGGTGGTTCAGGTTAATTTTGCCATCTAAATTCAATTCTAGGGTGGTTTTGTTCTAGTTTCATTCACTGCAACCTCAAATTCAATTATGAGATTTTCTGTTGTTCTTTGTCCGCACACCATGACTGCTGAGTCCAAGGAGTCCATCAATTCACCCAGTTCATGACTACCAATTTAATTTAAGTCATTGCTGATGGAACTACTAAAGTTCAGCCTCCCTTGCTGACTTCTCCCAAATCGCATAACTTTTTGGAGTTTCAGGCTACCCAACATACATCCTCGATGACATTGATAGCCCGTCATGGTAACCCAATGACTTGTCATATTTCTATATCTTTGGATCAATCATTGATTTTGATTCCAGAGCAACAAATCATGTTTAGGTAATAAAGAATAGTTCACCAGTTCTCCTTACCATTGTCGATGGATCATGTACTTCTAAAACCAAGGAGTTTGTAATTAAATTGTTTCTTTTTTTACTCATCCTTCCATCAATGTTGGTTGTCCAAAAATTTCCTTCAATCTTATATTAGTGAGCAAGTTAACTCGTTAACTGAATTATCTTGTGTCTTTATTTCTTAAACAGAGATTTAAAGACAAAATATTAGTAGAATAGAATATGAGTCAAATGGAATGTATTACTTTCGTTCAATCTCCACTAGCTTATTTTTCCTCCATCTCTTTTGCTAAACAATGTTGTCTTGGTCAGCTGTCACTTAATTACCTTAAGTTGATGTTACCACATTTTAAATTTGTTTCTACCTTGAATTGTGAATCTTGTCAACTTGAAAAACCTTATAAACTTAGTCACACATATATCTAGGGAGCTAATCGAGTCAAGTCCAAATCAGTATTCTAATATTTTATTCTTTTTGTTCATTATTTCTTCCAGATGACCTGGTTATACCTAATGAACGATCGCTTTGAAAAATTCTCTATTTATTGTTCTTTTTGTACTGAAGTTCAAACTCAGTTTGGTTTTATATTCACATATTTCTTAGTGCTAATGCTTGGGAATAATTTAGGCCCTTCTCCAGTTACCTTGATTAGCATGGCAATCAAATACCAATCCTCTTATCCTTATACCCTACCACAAAATACGGCAACTGAACAAAAAATCATTATGTTGGAACAGTTCATGCCATGTTCTATCCACCCTCATATATTCTGTTGAGTTTGTTTTGTTCATCGGCTTTAACCTTATACTGACAAGTTAGATCCTACATTTATTCAAGCCTGTACATGGAAATAGATTGTCATTTTGTACATGAGAAACTACAAGGTCTCTTTCAAGCTCTGTCTAAAGGCCAAATTGCTGATTTATTCATGAAGTCATTGGGAGAATTCCAAGTTAGGTGCATTTGTGACTGGTTTGGAGATTATTATATTTTACTCTATCTTGAGGAAAAGTGTTAGTCAATAGTCATTATTCGTATTAATTAGCAAGATTAGTCTGCTGAAGTAGTGCCTAGAATTAGTGCATTAATCTTGTGATTTGTCTATCCATTTTGATAGATCTGTACATGTGCCCATATCATATAATCTCAATATACAATTCATTTTTCTCTTTAATTTTGTTATGTGATAACCAAAAATCATTTCATTCAAGCACAGTGGCAATTTCCTTGGTTGATTAGTAGATGCGTACTTATCCTTGAAAAAACAAAATGCCCATTCTTGATTCCAAGATTTCTCATATGTAGTCTGCTGAACTGTTCTTGATTACCCTTTTTTATATTGAAAATTCAAATGCCCATCTTTGATTGCAACAGATCTCAATTGTCCATTCAAGTGTTCTCGTTCATTTTATTATATTGGATAGCCCATCATTGATTCCAAGATTTCTCATATGTAATCCGCTGAAGTCTCCCTGATTGCCCTTAATTAAGCTTTAAACTTAGGTGAAATTCATTGCAGTGTATTTTATCTGTATAAGATGTTGGTGTTTTCATGTTTGAAAGTAGATAAGCAATGTGGTATTGCAGCAACATTGTGCTAAAACTGTTACTAATCCGAAAAGAAAGAGAAAAAGAGAAAGAAAAATGAGTGATTAGATGGATGATCAAACTTTGGAGATTCTAGTTGTTATGTACAAGTTAAGCTTATAACAGTGCCCTTTGGTGTGATATATTGTTATTCAGTGGAGAAGATGGAAGAAGTAGAGCAGAACAACTGCTGCATATCTTGAGACAGATAGATCCGTATATTTCTTCCTCTATTGAGTATCAGAGAAACAGAGGTTGTCTTGCTGCTTATGAGTTGATGCAGAAATTTCGTACAGTGTGTGTTAGCGGATTCTGTTCACTTGGATGCCAGGGAAGTTGCAGTCACAACAAACTACTCGACCGTACAAGCAAGTTTTCCAATTTACTATGTTAGTTAGTCTCTCTACCCTTTTCCATTTTGCCTTCCCATCTTGCATTGCTTTAAAATATTCAAATATTTTATTTTATGCTTACACTGTCACTACTACTCCAGCTGCATTTGTATCTCCAAGTCGTGATGCATTATGTTTAGGGGAAAGGGTCATGGTATATCTTCCGCGTTGTGCAGATACAAACCCTGAAGTTAGAAAAACTTCTGCACAGGTCTGTAATTAATATTATTCCTTAATGTGAGGTTCTTTTCTCATTGCATGTTTTGACATGAGCAACATTTATCATATACTTAATATATTTTTTATGATCATTAATATAGTTCTTTGTGCTGACATTGCTTTGTATTTGCAGATTCTTGATTTATTTTTCAGTATCTCTCTTTCATTGCCAAGGGCATCAAACTCTAGTTTTGGACTTGACATTGAATCATCTTATGGTGCTTTGTCTGCTCTTGAGGATGTTATTGCTATTTTAAGAAGTGTAAGTGAGGAAGTCCTTTTTGGTTTTATTAAAAGAACAATACGAAGCCAGGATCGTATTTCAAGTTTTTGTCATTTTTAGGATGCATCACTTGACCCATCAGAAGTGTTCAACAGGATTGTTTCCTCTGTTTGTCTCTTATTATCAAAGAATGAGGTAACAATTCTAGGTATTCACGTCTTATTACCATATTCTATTTTTTGGGGGCAGTTAAACACTTGTTTGTTATTTTACACAGCTTGTGGCTGCCCTGCAACTTTGCTCAACAGCTATTTGTGACAAGATCAAACAGTCTGCTGAAGGTGCAATTCAAGCTGTGGTTGAGTTCATTACTGAGAGAGGAAAAGAACTTAATGAGGCTGATATCTCAAGGTTGGTTGTGGCGATTGAGTTTTATGTAGTAATCTTTCATTTTCATTTACCATGGTCTTTTTGGTAATGAAATCAGGACGACACAGTCTTTGCTTTCTGCTGTCATCCATGTAACTGAGAAGTACATACGTCAGGAAACACTTGCTGCTGTATCCTTGTTATTTTTTGATTCTCTTGGCAGCATCGTTGAGATCTATTGCCCTCAATACAACATGATTATTCTTATTATTTTTTAAAGCATGGAATATATCACATGTTAAATGATTTTTTTTTTTTTTTTTTTATGGGATCAGTTTCTTTAACTACCCAAGATTTCATCTCTCGCTGAGAGTACTAGCGCAAGTATTGTTTTCAATGAAGTGTTGGTGGCTGCAGAGAGAGATATAGCAACAAAAGATATATCTAGATTACGTGGTGGATGGCCTATACAGGATGCTTTCCATGTAATCTTATATATAGGCTATTGCATATCTTATGATGATTCTTACCATTTGTTGGATTTTTTTTCACTGTTTGATATGGTGAAAAATCAACATCAGTGCTTCTGATTTCCATAATCTTGCAAATTGCATTATGTTATATATATATATATATATATTGCAAACATTTATTTTTTCCATATTAACTTTGGCTGCTTTGCTGGCAACATTTTATTCAAACTCTTTTAAACACTTCTCTCATTCTTGCAGTTTATAATATGGTTATGTCATCTAACATATGAAGCTTTCTGAAATTTTTAGGCTTTTTCCCAGCATGCTATTCTTTGCTCTTCATTTCTGGAACACATAATTTCACTGCTGAATCAAACCCCTGCCATTCAAGGTGATTTTGGGAAGGGAGAGTATTCCAAAACTTTTGGGGAAGTTCATGCAGAAGATAATGTTTTGCATGCTGCAGTCATAGCTCTTACTGCCTTTTTCAGGTCTCCCCAATCTGCATTAATTATGTTTCTCATTTGTGCCTGCAATGACCAACAATAAGTTATAAAATCTACAGAGGCGGTGGCAAAGTTGGAAAAAAGGCTGTTGAGCAAAGTTATGGTTCTGTTCTTGCCACTCTTGTAATTCATTTGGGAACATGTCATTTGTTAACTAAGTCTGGCCAGCAGGAACCTCTACGGTATCACACTACCCCTGTTTTTAATATACACGAGCTAAATTGGAAGGGTTTGTGCTTTAACACAATTGTTCTCACCTTCTAAATTTTATTTCTAGTGAGCTGTTGATTGCATTTAATGCTTTCTGTGAATGTGTTGGCGATCTGGAGATGGGAAAGGTACATCAGCCTTTGGTTGACGGTATTTGAATCTTATATTCATAATAAGTTTGATATGTAAGAAGCAAACCTGTACAGATTCTGGCTAGAGACAGAGAAGATAATGAGGAGGAGACATGGATTGGTTTGGTTGGGGATCTGGCTGGATGCATCTCCATAAAAAGGCCGAAAGAAGTAAGCTTCTAGTTTACTCTTGAAGTCCACTCCGTAATATGATTTACACTACTGATATTTCACCGATGCCATTTTAAGCCACCAATAAAGATACCTGTGTAAATGAGCACGAAACCCTTGCATGTGTTTGGTTCATTTAGGGAATTTGTTTTATTTCTCATGGAATTACATGAATCTAGGATTTTAAAAATTCATTTCTATAACATTAATCCAAATAAGAGATGTGGATATCATCCTAACTCCTTGTGTGTGAATGCTACAAATGTAATAATATCAAGAAGGCGATTTCATTGTTTGTACTTTGTAGGTATATAATTTTCGCTAAGATGAAGATTTGGTACAGTAGAGAAATAGGGGAAAAATAAAGTTACATTATTCTAAGAAAAGAAAAGGCAAAATTACATATATATATATATATATATAGCAAATTAAAAAATCTATCCTAACTAACTAATTAAGTCATGGATATGGATATGGATATGGATATGGATATAGATATAGATAAAGATATAGATATGGATATGAATCTAATAAATCTAACACTCCCCCTCAAACTGGAGCGGAGCGTACAAATCATACGATCCAAGCTTATTGCAGATAGATTGGGATCTAGGAACTCTAAGAGCTTTCATAAATATGTCTGCAAATTGATCATCTGAGGGCACATATTTAGTATCTATTTATCCATATAACACTTTCTCTCTAACGAAGTGACAATCTATTTCAATATGCTTTGTTCGTCCATGAAATACAGGATTTGATGAAATGTGTAGTGCTGCTTGGTTATCACACCATAACTGCATCTTCATCTTCATCACATCACAGAAATTGAGTTCACAAAGTAATTGTTTAATCCAGAGAAGCTCACATGTAGCTAAAGCCATAGCACGATATTCAGCTTCAGCACTACAACGCGCAACCATATTTTGTTTCTTACTTTTCTAAGATATCAAATTGCCTCCAATAAACACGCGATAACCAGAGGTAGAACGCCTATCGATTGGAAATCTTGCCCAATCAACATCTGAATATCCAACGATTTCAGAATGACCATGATTTGTATAAAGTAATCCTTTTCCGGGAGACTCTCTAATATACCGCAAAATACGCATAAGTGTCTTTCAATGAGAGTCACATGGAGACTGCATGAATTGACTCACTACACTTACTGCAAATGATATATCTGGTCGGGTGATAATGAGATAATTAAGTTTTCCAACCAGCCTTTTATATCATCCAACATATATCAGTCAATGGCTCCCCTGACCTGGAAGCAAATTTTTTATATTAATCCATAGGGGAATCCACAACCTTACATTCATTTATACATGTTTCTTCCAACATATCAAGAACCTACTTTTTCTCTGAGATAGGATATCACAATTCTTCGATTGGGCAATCTCAATTCTTAAGAAGTACCGTAATGGTCACATTCCCAAGTCTTTGGTCTGGAAATGATTGTGTAAATGCTCTTTTAACTTTGTAATACCATCTATATCATCTCCAGAGAGGACAATATCGTCAACATGAACAAATAAGTAAACACACCGCCCTTCTAAATTATGCTTGAAGAATACGGTATGATTAGACGAACATTGTGTCATACCAAGTTCTTTAATAGCAAGACTGAAACATGCAAACCATGCCCGTGAAGATTGTTTCAAGCCATAGAGTGAACGACGAATGCGGCATACAAGACCAGACTCCCCCTGAGCAACAAAACGAGAAGGTTACTCCATCTCCATATATACTTTTTCTTTAAGCTCACAATGCAAAAAGACATTTTTAATGTCAAGCTTATGAAGGAGCCAACCGCACATTGCTGTCATCGAAAGAAATAGACGTACAAAAGATATTTTGGCACTGGGAGAGAAGGTTTCTGCATAATCCTCTCCATATACTTGAGTAAAGCCCTTTGCAAAAAGTCGAGCTTTAAGTCGATCAATGCCGACCTTCAGGTCCAACTTTGACTGCATAAACCCATTGGCAAGCTACGGGTGTCTTTCTTGGCGGTAACAGAACCAACTCCCATGTATTGTTAGCATGCGAAGCGGACATTTCCTCCATCATTGCCTGACACCACCCTGAATGACCTAAACTCTCTCGCCAAGAGCGAGGAACAGTGACAAAGTCTAAAGCACTCACAACACTGCACATGCAAGGAGATAAATGGTGATAACTAAGAAAATTATAAATAGGATTCAGATTACGAGTGCACTGAGTACCTCGACATGGGACGACAGATGAGTGAGGAATCGCAATCGAGGAAGGTGATGGAACCGGAGATGAGTCATCAATAGGTGCTGGTGATATGGTGAAGTAGGTATGTTCTGACGCTGCCATGTATGACGACTATAGACCTTAAGTGTAGGCTTATGAATGTGGACAAATGGAAAAGGATTCACAAGTATTGAGGAGGAAGATGATGACATCGTAAAGTATGGTATGACTCAAAGAACGTGACATCTGCATTAAAGGTAATATCGATGAGTGAGAGGAGAATAACACTTATATTCTTTTCGAACTCGAGAGCGGTAAAGGATATAGGGACACATTAGGTTGAAGACATGTTATGGGAATCTGATGTCCTAAGATAGCATATGAAAGATGATTGATAAGGAAATATGCTATAAGACTAGCATCAGCCCAAAAATGAAATGGAACATTATAATATATAAGGATGATACGAGCTGAAACATGCTGTAAGAATAGTATTAGCCCAAAAATGAAATTGAACATTATAATGTATGAGGATGATACAAGCTGTTTCCGTTAGATGATGGTTCTTGCGCTCAGCCACTCTATTTTGTTGGGGAGTGGAAGGACAAAATGACTGATGAATAATTCCTTTAGACTAGACAAAATCACTAAATGAGTGAAAAAAATACTCTGTGCCATTATCACTAAATGATAGATGTATAAAATTGTATATGAATTTCAGCACAACTTTTTGAATATAAAGAGTAATTCAAATCGATTTTTTATTAAATAAACCAGTGCATCGAGAAAAATCATTAATAAACGTAACAAAATATTGAAAATCAAGGGTTTAAGTACGACAAGGGCCCCAAATATGAGAGTGAACCAATGCAAATGGCTCAGATACTCGACTATCGACGCGCTTGGGAAAGGAAGTACAAGACTGCTTCCCAAGCTCACATGACTTATATGGTATCGAACATAGTGACAAAAAGTTAGAAAAAAAATGCTTTAATTTAGACAGATTGGGATGACCTAATCGTTGGTGGAACAATTCGGGAGACTTGATAGAGGATATAGCAATGGTAAAGGTATTGCGAGGGGACTCGTTTAGGTAATATAGCCCATGAGACTCACGTCCGGTACCAATCGTCTGCCCCGTGCTGCAATTCCGAATAACAAGAAAATCACTAATTAGTAAAATAGAACAATCTAGATCTCTAGTGAGATGACTAATATATATGAGGTTAAGTGGACTTTCAGGAACATATAAACAGATTGAAAAGGTAAATTAGGCGATGGACAAGTTTTACCAACAGCTTGAGGATAAACTTTATCACCATTAAAAAGAGTAACATGAGTTAGTGAATTTGATGGAAGAAAGATAGAAAATAACGAGGGATTACCAGATACATGATCGATTGCACTTGAATTTAGGACCATGGACTAAGAGAAGTTTGAGAGACGCCAATAACGGGAGTATGGGTATCAGGTGAGTCGGCAATACTGGTGGAGGATGATTGCTGAGATGCTTGATACTTAAGAAATACAACATAATCTGCTTCACATAAGGTAATACTGTCAGATGATTTTCCAGGCGAATCAGTAGCAACAACATTTGTCGAACGAATGGATTGTCCATGTAATTTGAATTGACATTCTCGTGTGTGGCCCATCTTGTGACAATAACTACATTGTGGATCACGTCCACTGTGATCTTGACTTCCTCTCCCGCCACGATCTCTATCACGATTATCGAAGCTAGAATTTTAAGACACCAAGGTTAAATTATCAGTAGTATTAGTAGATGGGGTAGCCATAGGGGTGTTACTGTTAGAGGAGAGTCGTACTAGTTGAACAAGAACATCATCCAGTGCGGGTACAATGGCACTTCCTAGTATATGGTCTTTAATACGGAAAAGAATTTGTCCTAAGCAGCCTCTGGATTTGCAGAACTGGTAGAAATTATGGATCGAAACTCATGTCGAATAGCTTCCAGTTTACTCACATAAGTGGGAAGATCAAGTGTGTGATCTTTAAGTAAAATAAGACTGGAGACTACATCATAGTAGCGCTAAATATCAATGCTGTAAATGGAAGCAGCCTTACTCCAAACTTCATAGCATGTCTCAATGAGTGATATGTGGAAAGTATGGTTAGATCCAAGGAATTTCACAGTGAGACACATGATTGTGCATCAACTTTTGCCAATTCAGATCGAATTTCTTCTTTAATTTCTGACTTTCTATTTTTAGGATGGTCAGGTTGCCCTTGTCCTTTTAACCGAAGTCATATAGATGCAACCTATGACTTATAATTAAATACACCTCGTAATTTACCGGTAGTAGCCATAGAAATAGCACAAAAAAAGTTGCCTGAGAAAAAATCTGGTGGACAGCTGGCGGCGCGTGGTGGCAGCGGCGGCGGCGATGGAGGGTGACACTACCCGACGCATTTTAAGAAGGAATGTGCCTCACCAGCGCGTGTCTGGAAAATCCATCGGAAAAAGGTCTAAAAACGGCTGAAACCGAACCTTGGTCGTCCTCCGGTGATAGGACGTGCGGCGGCGTACGGAGGCTCTCTCACTCTGGTTGGAGTCGTCGGTCTATTGGGAGATAGATTATGGTGTTGGTTGGTTGAAAAGATAACTCAAATTAAATTAGAAAAAAAATTAGTGTTTTGGTATAATTAGGGCTTGAGATGAGGTGGCGGCAGCTCCTGAGACTAGCGGCGGCAACAGCGACTAAAAACTAAACTCCAATTTTACCCAAATCCTAGTTGACTCTGATACCATGCAGAGAAATAGGGGGAAATAAAATTATATTATTCCAAGAGTACATATATATAGCAAATTAGAAAATTTATCCTAACTAACTAAATCATAGATATGGATAGAATATGAATATGGATATAGATAAAGATATAGATATGAATATGAATCTAATAAATCTAACAGGTACTAATGATCAGCTTGAAGTTTCCTAATAGTTCAGTATGCATATGTTGATCAGTTGTGTACCAACTTAAATGAGTTGTGAATTGGAATGATTCCTCTTGGAGTTCCATATTTTCAGAAACATCTTAAAAAATTAATTTCATGAATTTATATTTGGCACTAGAGATCAGGTTGAAGGTGCTTGTTAGTTCAGTGATTAGTGTTTTATGTGCATACATTGATGTAGTTACTTAAAGCACTTTTAATTTCTATGATATGAACCTGTAGATGCTTAGGTCCAGATGAACGGTGAATTTGGGCCAAGTGTATGAGCTATTTTTCTTGATCTGAAGTTTGTCAAATTTCTTTGGTGCTTCTGAATAAAAATTGATAGCACATTTGTTAGTTAATTCACTCCAATATTTAGATGATATACAATATTAACACATGTGAGTGGGATTGGTAAGTTTCCTGTTTTTGGGATATTTATGAAGAGATTGCATTGCTGAGGTAAGTGCTAGTGAGGTTTTTCATTTTAATCATAGTTGAGATATTATAAATAGGGTGAGTGAAGTTTTTTTGAATTTTCCTACTTGATTAAATGTTTCCAGTCCTGATTTATTGCATTATTTTTTCACTTCCTCTGTCCAAACTACAGGTTCTTGGTATCTCTTTGATTCTTTGCAAATCCCTGGATAGACCACCAAGGTATTTGCGGGAAGCTGCTGCTGCTGCATTGTCAGAATTTGTTCGATTCAGGTATGTTTTATATTTCCTATGTTCCCTTGTGATTCCAGCAAAGCATGTTTATACATTTTATTTGGAATGGCAATATGGAAGTGTCATCTTTCTTCCCCTTCTACTGTTGTAAGACGTGTCTGGTGCTAACAGTTGGTATTGTCTTGTGTCCACATCCCAATTATGAACTTTGTTGTCTAAGCATGTATGAGAGCGAGAGAAAAATAAGTACCATCATGAAATTGTGAGTTTTAAAAGTTGCCAAACCATTATTTGTCTTTATATAATATGCAAGTGTTCTTGGATGTCTAGCAGCAATTTTTCCATAGTAACGGTAGTACGACCTGTAAAATGCAAATGCCTTTATATAATGTGCACGTCTTCTTGGTTTACAATTTGGAATGTCATTGAGCATGGTCAAATGCGTCACAATAATGGAGGGAAATTTTTAGAACAGAAGTGCCATCAGGCTGATTTTAAAAATCTTAACTCGCTTTTCTTTTCTTTCTTTCTTTTTTTTTTTTTTATTTGACCACAAATAGTTATGCAACAAATATGCATTACTGTTTCATCCGTGGCTTGATGGAGGCAGTTTGTAGACCAACATAAATGACTTGTTCAAGTGCAAATTGGTTTGAATCCTCTGCTCTTGCTATCAAATTTCTTACATCAAGACTAATCATTTTGCAGTGATAGTTTTGGTTCTTTGTTAGAGCAGATGGTTGAAGGCTTATGCAGACATGTTTCTGATGACTCTTCAACTGTGAGGCGTCTTTGTTTAAGAGGACTTGTCCAGGTAAGCATTGTTAAAGCTGTGATGCTTGCTTCTTTGTGTCTTCGCCTCCAATTTTCTGTTCTGGTACATATCTGTACACTTCAAATATATAGTATATATTTACATATGAGGTTTGTTTGTTTTAGTGTTTTGGTTCGAGGTTTCTTTTTTTTTTTTTCTCTTATGTGAGGTATTGGGAATTGTATCCGTAATATATAAAGTACTCTCTATCTCACATACCTTGGAACATTTTTTATTTTGGTTTGTCCTATCTATCCAACAATATTTCCAAAATATTAAGTAATTAACTACATTTTATTTCATCACTTAATAAAGAATATATATACAGTTCTCTCTCATCACAGATCTGATTCCCAATTTTTTTAAACTAAATACTACTCACTTAAGTTTTTGTGCCGGAAACCAAAATCATATCTGAGACAAGGGGTAATATTTTGTGTTGAGTGTTGACTTTTTGTTAAATAATAGAATATATATTATATATTGAGAATCATGTCAAAATTTTTTGTTTGGCAGATAAACCTATATACTCCCACTGTCTTATAAAATAATGTTCAAAACTTTTGGACACGGAGAGCAAGTAAAATAGTTTTTTAATATTATGTGTACTTTTGGATTATAGTAGAACATGTGTAAGAAATATGTGGGGTTCATGAGTGACATTTGTGTAAATAGATGGAAAAATAGTGGGTATAGATTTAAGAAAGAATTGTACTTTTTACTAAATATAGTATGAACACACTTTTAGTAAATGATAAAATGAGCACACTTTACAAGATAAGGGGGAGAGTATAATTGTTGATGCAATTTTTCAATAATAAAAAGTAAAATCCGAAAAATAAGAAATTATCTTCGAATTTGATATAATTAGTGCCTGAGATTAGGAATCTTTAAACACTGTAAGATACATAAATAAAATAGAAAAATAAAACTACAGACTGGAAAATAAAGTAGTGATCCCCAAAGGCAATTCTTTTGAATTTGATGTCGATTGAAGATACTCTGCCAGTTGCTGACCCCAATTCTTAAATATTCCTCAGAAGAGATGTTTCGGAACTGTCGCCAGCAACCGCCGTCAACCGTTCACAACGAAACGTTTTGAAACGTCGTCTGGTCGGTTACGGCAACCGTCTCGCCAACCGCATAACCCAACCGACCAATCCAGAGACTAACTGGTCGCTAGACCAAACGATTCCTTGGTCGCCCTATCAAGCGACCATCCTCTGGTATTTTCAGACGATTCAATGGTCGCCCCAACCAAGCGACTGAACTACTGTTCACTTAATTAGACGACTAATTAACAGACTTTCGCTTGGTCTAAATTCCGTATTGGCCGAACCAACCGACTGCAAACCATCCGATCCGACTGCAGACCATCCGACCTGCCTATCCGACCACGGATTTTTTGACCTGCCTATCCGATCGAGGACCAATCGACCTGTCTGTCCGACCGCGGACCTTTCGACCCGCCTGTCTGACCGCGGACCTTCCTACCTGCTTATCCGACTGCGGACCAACCGACCGCGGACCAACCGACCTGAGTGCATATTTTCTTCTTTTCCGCCCGACTTCGTGTCCTAACTTCTTTTAAGATCCTGCTACCATTATTATTATTATTATTATTATTATTATTATTATTATTATTATTATTATTATTATTATTTGTGCGTAACAATAATATTCTTCAGATAACTTGCATTGGTTTCCACTTTTATCTAATTATGAGCTCTTTGGATTGATAATGCGGTTGATTCATTTTGCGCAATTTACACTCTTCAACATTCTTGTGGGTGTGTATTGCCATTTTGATGCTTATGAGATGCTGCCAGTAGGGCTGAGCTTTTGGCTCTCGAGTATTTCGAATATTTGATTCTACTTTTTGGGGTTTATCCCACATTTTCATGTAAAATAAACTATTTTTTTTTCACAAAATATTAAAAACTAATAAAAATTACTTACACTCATACAAAATCACAATCTCGAGAATTCTTTGACAAGTACTAATATTGCCATTTACTTACACATGCTGCACCTGTACGTTCCTCTCTTCAAAATGTGTTAGGCAACGTTGTCTTCCGCCGCGGCCGCCAGCTGTCCGTCGGATTTTTTCTCATGGAGCTTCTCTAGTGTTTTTTCTAAGGCTGATCCACTTAAACCACTAAATTTTCAGCTTATTACTACAGTTACATTACGCGGTGTACCTAATTATAAGTTATGGCTTGCGTCTATACGACTTTGGTTTAAGGACAAGGGCAATCTAACCCTACTGTGGAATTCCCTGGATCCAACTATATTTCCGACAGATCAATCATTTGAGACATGCTATGAAGTTTGGAATAAGGCTGCTTATATTTACAACAATGATATTCAGCACTACAATGATATAGTCCTCCTTTCACTTAAAGATCACACATATGATCTTCCTACCATCAGTTCGGCATATCCATAGGTTGCTTGGAACAAGTTCTTTGCTGTATTGGCTCTTGTCCACCTTAGAGTTGAATTCGATCATGTTCGAGACCAAATACTTGGAGGTTCCATTGTACCTATGTTGAACGATGTTCTTGTTCGTCTAGTAAAACTCTCCTCTAGCAGTAACACCTATATAGGTACCCATCTACTAATACTACTCCAACTGATGGTTCAACTTTGGTTTCTCAAAACCTTAGCTCCGATAACCGTGACAAAAATGTTTATGGGTGGGTGAGAGTCGAGATCGAAGTGGATGTCGTCCGCAATGCCGTTGTTGTCACAAGTTAAGCCATACACAAAAACGTTACTTCAGTTTACATGGATGTCCCCTTGTTCGACAAATATTGTTGCTACTGATTTGTTCGGAGGTTCATCTGATACTTTCACCCTACATGGAGCAGATTATGCTATATTTCTTCAGTATCAAGCATCTCAGTAGTCATCCTCCATCAGTTCTGCTGTCTCACCTAGTATACCCATACTCCTGTAATTGGTATCTCAAACTTCTCTTGATCCATGAGTCTTAGATTCAGATGCAACTTGTCTGATAATCCCTCTATGTTCTCCACATTTTATCCATTAAATTCATTAACTCATGCCACTCTTGCTAATGGTGATAAAGCATACCTCAAGTTGTTGGTAATGTTTGTCCTTCACCTAGTTCACCTCTTTAGTCTATACTTTGTCTATCAAAGTCCATTTAACCTCATTTGTTAATCATTATCTAAATTGCTCTATCTTACTAACTAGTGATTCACTTGTATTCTAGATCGCAGCACGGCACGGACAATTGGTACCGAATGTAAGTCTTATTGATTATGTTACCCAAACGAATCTCCTTGCACCTTATTATATCCGCAATTGAGTCTCCTGACTACTCTACCAGCGATTAGGTCATCCCAATCTGTCCAAATTAAAGTGTCATTTTCCTAATTATCTTTCTCTATCTTTATTATCTTGTGAGTCCTTTGAGCTTAGAAAGCAGTCTTGTACTTCCTTCCCAAGTGTGTCGATAGTTGGGCATCTGAGTCTTCTGCATTAGTATACTCAGAAATTTGGGGGTTTTGTCATACTACTGTAACTTTTGGTTTTCAATATTCTATTATGTTTATCGATGATTTTTCTCAATGTATTTCGGTTTATTTAAGGAAAAATCGATTTGAATTGCTCTATATATTAAAAATGTTTTGTGTTGAAGTTCGTACACAATTTTATACATCTATATATTAAAAACGTTTTAAGAAGTGATAATGGTGGAAAGTATTTTTCATCAGTCGTATTGTCCTTCCACTCTTAACAAATTGGAGTGGTTGAACGAAAGAACCGTCATTTAATAGAAACAACTTGTACCCTTCTCTTACGTTATAATGTTACATTCCAAATTTGGGCTGATGCGATCCTTACAACATGATTTCATGAATCATCTTCCGTATACTATCTTAGGACATTAGATTCCCATAATATGTCTTCAGCCTAATGTGTTATGTGTCATTGGTTGTACGTGCTTTGTTCTTGACTATTTTCTTAGTTTGGACAAATTACGTCCTCGATCAATCAAATGTATTCTCCTCTCATTAGTCGATATTACCTTAGTACAAATGTCACGTTCTTTGAGTCATCACCATACTTCACAGTGTCATCATCTCCGTCCTCAATACATGTTACTCCTATTTCAATGGCCCTTATTTCCAAGTCTCCACTTGAGATTTATAGTTGTCATACATGGCAGTGTCAGAACGTACTTACTTCACCATCACCTACGACTATTAATGACTCACCTCCGGTTCCGTTGCCTTCCGTGATTGCGACTCTACTGTTATTTATCGTCCTACGTCAAGCTATTTAGTCCACTCGTAATCCTAACCATGTATATAATTTTATTTATTAACACCATTTATTTTCTTTTCCTTTTATGCGGAGTGTTGTGACTACTTTAGATTCCATCTCTGTTCCTCGCTCTTGGTGTAAGTAAGGCTTTGGGTCATTCAGGGTGGCGTTATGCCATGATAAAGGAAATGTCTGTTTCCACCAAAAAAGACAACCATAGCTTGCTGTGGATTTATGTAGTCAAGGTTAGCCCTAATTGTTGCATTGATCGACTTAAAGCTCGATTTGTTGCAAAGGGCTATACTCAAGTGTATGGAGAGGACTACACAAAAACCTCCTATCCCGTTGCCAAAATGTCCTTTGTTCGCCTTTTTATTTCTATGGCAACAATGAGTAGTTGGCTATTTTATCAGCTTGACATTGAAAGTACCTTCTTGCATGGTAAGCTTAAACAAGAAATGTGTTTGGAGCAACTACCTAGTTTTGTTGCTCAGGGGAATTTCGTCTTTTATGTCGCTTTCGTCGCTCACTCTATGGCTTCAAATAGTCTCCACGGCATGGTTTGTACGTTTTAGTCCTGTTATTTAAGAATTTGGTATGAAAAAATGTTCATCTTATCATACTGTATTCCTTAAGCATACTTTAGAGGGATGTGTTTACTTAATAGTCTATGTTGTTGACATTGTTATCGCTGGAGATGATATTACAAAATTTGATTTTAAGCCAAAAGACTTGGGACCACTATGGTACTTCTTGGAATTGAAATTGACCAATCAAAGAATTGTGCTATCATATCTCAGAGAAAGTATATTCTTGATATGTTGAGAAATAGACATGAGTGAGTGTAAGGTTGTGGATTCTCCTATAGATCAAAATAAAAAGCTCTTTCATGGATGGGAGAGCCATCGACTGATGCTGAGCAGGACGAAATAGAAGATTGGTTGGAAAGCTCAATTCTCACTATCACCCACCTGACCAAATATATCATTTGGAATTAGTATAGTGAGTCAGTTCATGTAGTCTCCATGTGATTCTCATTGAAAGACATATTTTGCTGTATATATTAAAGGGTCTCCACAAAAAGCTTTACTTTATACAGATCATGGTCACTCTGAAATTATTGGATATTCAGATGTTGATTGGGTAGGGTTTCCAATCGATAGACGTTCTACCTCTTGTTATTGTGTGTTTGTTGGAGGTAATTTGATATCTTGGAGAAGTAATAAACAAGATATGGTTGCACTTTCTACTGCTGAGGCAAAATATTAGGCTACGGCCATAGCTACTTTGTGAACTCAAATTTTGTGATGTGACGAAGATGAAGTTATGGTGGGATAATCAGACAACATTACACATTGCATCAAATTCAATATTTCATGAATAGACAAAGCATATTGAAATAAATTGTCACTTCATCAGGAAAAAAGTATTATCTTGATATATAGAAATTAAATATGTGTCCTCAGATGATCAACTTAAGTCTTGAGTGGTCTTAGATCCGAGTCCATCTACAACAAGTTTAGATCGACTGACTTGTACGCTCTAGCTTGAGGGGACTGTTAAATTCATATCTATATCTTAGGTGAATATGATTCATATCTATATCTATATTTATGATTTAGTTAACTTTAGTTTGTTACTTATGGTAGATTTTCTAACCACCTATATATATGTATACACTTCCCTTCACTTTTATCTTGGAATGAAAATAATTCTCCCTATTTCTCTACAACTAACAACAAATATTCCAACAAATAATAAACACTAAATGAACAAACTCTTGCATCTGAATTGTTCTTTTTTGGATTTTTTTGTTTTTGAAAAGTTAAATTCAGATTCGGATACAGGGTGTCGGACAATTGTTTGGATCAAATTTCGAGTACTAAATTTGCATCTGAATAACACGATCAGCTACCTGACACACGGCCCTTCATTTATTCCTTTTAATCTTTTAGGGTTAAAAGGGAAGCGAATATGTGCATGTTTCAATATTTTGATGTGTATAATATCTTGTTATTTTAAGTCCTATTCTTTGTGTGAATATTATTTCTACTTATCTTTACTAATTTAGACTTCAAATATTGGTCTTTCTTTTTAAACATAGTTAGTTTGTCATGCTAATAGCCTTGCAACATCAAGAATGAAGGTTTTCATTTAGTATTTTGTTAATTAAAATTATGTTCTTGTAATGTTGGTTATAAGATAAGTAAATGTTTCAACTATTCAACTATTATCTAAACCACCCAACATGTTAGGTATTTGATTATATTTGGGTATGCGAGTTGTCAAATATCCAATATAGAAGAGTAGAAATTGGATAGTTCATAATCAAATTCCAATCTGAATTATCCAAACTTCAATTATCCAATGTGATCCCACCCCTAGCTAGCAGTGCCGTATTTAAAAAATATCTTCTTCCCCTACTCTTATTTATTTCAGATGATAAGACCCATATACATGCCACGAAATAATTAAACTATGATCTGTAAAAAAGTGATGGAGGTGAATTTGTATCTCCACCATATTTGATACCAGCATCACTTGCATGCATGTCGTGCAGATGCCGCCAGTCCATGTGGTCCAGTATACTGCTCAAATTCTCAGTGTTATTGTAGCTTTGCTTGATGATCCTGATGAATCAGTTCAGCTTACTGCTGTCTCATGTTTGCTGATGGTGATTTCCTTTTCAATGGGCTTCTATATCTATATATATATATATAGAGAGAGAGAGAGAGAGAAAGGGTTTTTTTTTTTTTTTTTTTGAGAGAGATATTCAACATCTCATATTTATTATAATCTCCTACATTGTGCCATGCACCCCAGGTTCTTGGATGGTCTACAACCGATGCTGTGGAACCTATTTTGCTTAACCTTTTAGTTCGGCTTCGTAACCTTCAGGTGAGTTTCTGAATACCTTGTTTGTCATGATAATTTTGTAGATCTAAATTTGGCAGGATGTTCTTGGTTGCCATTTTTGTCATCTTGAATTTTTCTTTTTAATTTATTAGTAGTTATCATAAATGATTTAACTTAAAAGGATATAACGTGTGGATAGTGAAGGAAAGTCCTATAAATTTCACACTTTTTATCCTAAATTTCTTGTCATTCAATTAGAGGAACATGATCATATCTAAGGTTGTTCCATTAAAATAAATATTTTTTAGATTTTTAACGTGACAGTCAATGATGCTCAAGATTTTCACCGGTTTTGATCAATTGTATTTAATTTGGTTATGATGAACTTCTCATGTGAGCTCATATGAGTGGATGAGATTTTGATTTGTCATTAGTTAATGCTAATCTTTTCATTTAATCATTTCAACCCTTTTTATTCTAAACTTGTGGTGCATTTGGTTGCGTTTGTGTTTTGGATTTTCTTTTTTTTAATGTCTATAATTTTTTGTATGTGATGGTTTGAATGAAAAATGTGTATTGAATGTAATATTTTGAATAAAAAATAGACGGGCAATGTAATATTTTTTCAACGGGGTAAATTGCATATGAAAACAAGGTAGAAAACGCATACAACTTTTCAAAAAAACTGATGAGCAATTAGTTTCTTTTCAAAATGATTGTGTTCATGAGCTTTGAGAACATGATTTTATTGGTATTTATCAACTTCTTTTTTTCTTTTCTGTTTTTTAAATTTGCAATAGGTGTGCATGAATGCGAAAATTCGAGCCAATGCATTTGCAGCATTCGGAGCTCTAAGCAATTATGGGTTTGGGCCTCAACATGATGCATTTCTCGAACAGGTCCATATTGCATTTGATGATGTGGAAAGATACTTGCCTTATATCCTTTGTGCTTTATCAAATTAAAATTATTATTTAGTAAATTAACTATGAGCACGGCGGTGTTCACAATTCTTTAGGTCGCTGAAACAGTGTTCCCTTAATGTTGAATATATTTTTGTTTTTGGAAAGTAAAGAAAATCTATTCAATAAGATAGTTTAAAATACAAAAACTTAGGAAGTGATGGATGAATATCATTGTCGAAGCTAGAAAAAGTGATATAGAGATAAACATGCAGACAATCTCCAATCATGTATCTTGGCACGGAATGGATGTAAGAGATACTGTAGGACTTGCACAAAGTTCGGAAGTTTGTAAGATAGTGTAGGACTCTGTTCTATCAAGAATTTGATACTGTAGACCTAGTTGTGTGTGTATTAGGTTTTTGTCTTTCATGCCATGTAACCGAAATTATAGAGTAATATATTATATCACTGATGGCATTTCTATACTGAGAAAACTAAAAGACCAACTAGAAATTAACTTTCTACTATCTCCATAATTAATTTTCTACCCCTATCTATATTAAAATCTACTTTCTTGGTCCCAGTGCTCGACAAGGTTTATGAATTTGAGTCTGCTTACCGTTGCTAGGTTCATGCTGCATTTCCACGTTTAGTTTTACATCTTCATGACGAGGATCTTGGTGTGCGAAAAGCTTGTCGGGTTAGATAATTCATTGTAGATCCTTCATTCGAGTCCCTTCTTTATTAGGGAAAGTTTTGGCTTTTTAATAAAGATTATATTTTCCTGCAGAAAACTTTAAAATGTATTGCTCCATTGGTCGAATTTGATGGTATGGTTGCCCTATCCAACACACACAGATTTAGTTCCGATCATAGGTACATCTGAAGACCATTACTGCAGCTTTATTGTTTCGTTTACTTTCTTCATTTATTTATTCCACTTTTGCGCTTTTCTCTTTTGCTTTAGAGGTGATTACGAAGACTTACTTAAAGACATCGCTAAGCAATTTACCCAGCAGATCTCCTCGAGAATCGATACGTACATGGCATCTATAATACAGGTCAACATTTGATTGATATTGTGTATTCATTATACATACATATATAAGACCTTCCTTTGCTAGGGTTCAAATACATTAAATGTCGAGGTTTCCTTCCGTCTATCCACAATTACATTGAAGTGATGTTTTTTCACAGAAAAATTAATAAATTTTATAGATTGTGATGCTTGATGAAAACACTAAATGAATACACCCTTAATAGTTGGAAGCATTGCATTACGCAGGCTTTCGAGGCTCCTTGGCCAGCAATTCAAGCAAATGCCATTTATTTATGTAGCAGTATAGTCGCGGTTTCGAACGATCAACATATCTATGTCCTCTACCATAGCCAGGTTGTGATTTGCGGCATCCTTTTCTATAAATTTCCTCAGCCTAGCCTAGTTTTGTGTTTACAGTAGACATTTACGGTTGGATCTTAGTTTAGGTCTTTGGAGTGCTGATTGGAAAGATAAGCAAATCTTCCGATGCAATTGTTAGAGCAACTGGTTCCCGGGCACTCGGATTGCTCCTTAAGTCGGCCAATTCAAGTTCCTGGAAAGGCGCACGGCTCGACCCATCAGATTCGATCCTGTCCGGACATGAAGCAGAATCTTCCAGGAGATTATGATTATGATGACAAGAACCACAACTGGGAAGGAACTTTATAGGTGCTGGATAATTTGTTTTATTTATGTGAGTACATGTGCGGCGGCGGTTTGTACAGCTTACGATGGATAAATTATGATGCTGTCTGTGAGCTGCTTGTGACACTGCTTGTTGGGGTGGGTTGGGTTGGGTTCCTTGCATATTTGCGGTGTTTAATTTGTTACGGAAGAGAAGAGCAAGAGCTTCATTTCATGTCTTGATTATTGTGATAATGCATGGCTTTGCTATTCTATTTAGGTTGGTTTGCTGCTGCTGCTGCTGCTGCTCGAACCCGCCGTTGTTCTTTTCTACGGTTGATTATTATTCAGCAACTATATATATTCTTTGTGTTCGCGTTTGAATTATTGGCTAAATGTGATATTTAATTAAAAATATAACATTTCTTCTATCCATTAAATACACGAGGATATAATGTGAATGACAGAATACATCATTATATCAAAATAATACAAATGCCGTGTATGATAGAATAGACAACCCACAATCACAAACAATATATTAATTATATTGAACATGATAGATTTTTGCATTATAAATAAAGTTTATTTTATATTCTTTTTTTGCATATATCATGTTAGGAGAGTTGTGGATTTTAAACTTTTGCAAAAGAGTATATATTTTTAAATTTAAATAGTATTGATTTGAGTTTAAAATTCAAATTAAAGAGCTCTTTATACTTCATATTGTTTTATCATATATACTTTATATTTTTTATCATATAAAACTGAAATATATTCATGTGTGCAATATAATTTCTTTTTTTTTTTATTTTTGATTGATTTATGTGTATATATATATATATATATAAAAGTGTGTCTGATCAATATTATAAAATATATTTTGTCTCTTTGGTTTCAACAATAAAAAAAGACAGTTATTAATATGCATACAACAATTTATATTGATTTTTATGTTTTTGGCCTGAAATATGATAAAAGAAATGTAAATTCACCTTTGATATTGATGTTTGGTTTTAGTTTGAATGTCAGCTTTTTATTTAAATTAAAATTGATGTTTGGTTTTAGTTTGAATGTCAGCTTTTTATTTAAATGTTAATTTAAATAGTATTTTAAGATAATGTAAATACAATATATAAACGGACATTATATTATATAGTTCATACAACAAAATATACTATTTTTTATTTTTATTTTTTTCGCTCCGGAAGAAAATATAATGTATTAAAAAATGGTACATTGTGTTTTCACCTATAAAAATATTCAATATTTGCGACAACTTGATGAGTCGGTCGAAAAATTGGTAAAGGGTCTCTTAGGACACTCCAGAAAACTCAGTAAGAATAATATTTTGTCAGTGGAGAATGGGATTAGCAAAAAAATCAGCCGAAAAAAATAAATTATAAATCGACTTAAAAATTAAAATTGCTTTAAAACTGGATGAATGAACAAGGAAATACATGCGTAATTGAAATAAAGTTGAAAAAAGTATAAAGTAACCGATGGAAAAGTGAATGATATGAAAACAAAAAATACGATAAAAATAAAAGAAAATAAAGGTAAAAAGATAGACTGAAAGGCGTGTTGTTGGATGTTGATCGTCCTTTTTCCATCTTCAAAATTCAGATTTTATACTCCACTTAAGCTTGTAACTTCTCTTCTCATTTAATTGTCCCATCACTTTCGCTATTATAGAAGATCATTAAATCAAGTGTAACTTGTTTAACGTTCTTATCTTCAATAATAAGTCCTTTATTTATCATTAAATAACAACAAAACTCTTATGATCATTGAATAATATTTTATTGGAACAATTTTCCTTGATTAATGGTCATAACCTCCGTATTGATTTTTTTGCTTCATAAATTTTGTCAGCTCCATATTCTCCCTCCGCATAATGGGCTTCAAAATCCTTCTTGGGCTAATGTCATCCTCTCTGGGCTCCACTGTCTCTGGTTCATTTCTCACTTAGGTCTCTAGCGAACTAGGTTTCTTTCTTTTAATTGGGCTTTTCCTTCAACGGTGTTTTTTTCGGGTCTAACATAATACCCCCAAAAATTGGGATTAAAACTTAATTTTTATTTCATAACATCTTTTTATTTGATCTGATGGATGATGTCTACTACCACACCCTATTCGAGACGGAGAAAACATTTTTAACTAGCATTTCTTACTTACTCCATTATTCAGGCCATAACTTCTCACTTTCTTGAAAACGTGTCCTCTCACCATTTGAAAGATCACTTCTCATTCTTTGTTTTGCTCTAATTTCTCTCTCAATCTTCTTCTCCTTCACGATCATACATGGCATCCGGCAAGTCCATTTCATTCAGTGGAAATTTCCCCACCGATGGTTTTTTTTTCGTCCAGTAGATTTTTTGCAGTCATCCGCTCATTCCAATGATGGGAGATCCACCATTTCCGCTCGCCTTCTTCCTTTTGGCGGTCAAGGGCTTATCTTCTTAATTAAGGACGTCTTTGATGTTGAGGTTCAGAAAGGTTTTCTCCTCGAACCATATAACCTTCCGCTAACCCAACATTGGCTAAAGATCAATGCTTTCCCCTCAAACTTTACCCACATTCCTGGCAATTCTACTTCCCACACAATAGTGAGACGATTAAGGCTTTACTATGTTTTTAGGACTTTTATTTGAATCATTTTGTCTTGTCCTTCGGTATATTAAGTTCTATTGTCCTATATGTTTCCGTGATTTTGGGATTACCTGTGAAAGGCCTCGAGTCCCCTTTGATTGCTTATAAAATGTCCATTGTTTCTGTTTTCTCCAAACCTTACATTGACAAGGCCACCTCCACCCAATTAATGGCCCAAACTACACTGTCTTACACCGTTAAACCCCTGAAAAATAATGTTTTGTTATTCTTTTGGTTCACAAAGTTTTTTCCTGTTTTGGCTCCAAAGGGGTGGTGAAGGAGACTGAACTCATTCTTTAAATCGTAATGACCGATCAAAAAATTAATCTGGCCTTGTATTTATTGAGTTTCTCTACAAGGGCATCAATGATTTGATCAATAAGATATGGAAACCCCCCTAAGGACCTTCATGTAATTGGACTTCTTTGCTCTCTAAATTTTTGGAAAAGACTATTTTTCTTAAGTTCATAGATCCGCAGACCAAACTTTGTCAATCCTACCCATTCTCATCATTAGGGGAACTTCTGCTCTTTGGTCTTTTTTTTATAAGCAATATACACTCAATCACCCATTCTATCTTGCAAGCCTCTCCTTGATCAAATTAATTTTTCTATCCATTGATGGATAGCAAATGCAGTCCGTCTAGGTTAATTGAATTGAGGGATGGAAATTCCACTTTAATCCTTAGTTTGAATGTTTGTTGGAATAAATGTTTCTCCACCCGGCCAATGATTATTGGTTGCTCCACTTCATCTGCTACATCCACTTTGCTCCGAGTCATATTAGTCCCATGGCCAAAAAGTTTGGCTTGATTCAAGACGTTCCATATTTTGGCTACCTTCTTCCGCCACTGTCCGAAGTCTGCCAGACATTTCCTCTGACACCTTGGTACAATGGTAATCCTATATACTGGATATAGAGAGCCTTGTCTATTTATTTCATCAACTTTAATGGGCAGTTACTCTCTTTTTTTGAATCTTGGTGGGCGGATATTGAAAAACGCCTGTTGTTAGATCCTTTAAGCACCTATTTAGTCAAGTTGGTTTACAAGCACTCTGAAAATAAAAACCCTTCAACCTCCGAAACTGAGGATGTAGTATTCAATGCATCTATCCGCACTCTACGTAAAATCCATTGAATTATGCTGAATTTTGTGGCGGACGATTGCTAATTTTTTTTCTTTTTAGCCACATCTAAAAAGAATTCCTCTACTGCCTCTACATCCTCAGGCCATTGCTTTTCAAAATGTTTTGCCACTCTGAAAGTGACCCCTCATCCAAATACTTCAAAGATCACGAGAATATCGCCGAAGCGTTTCCTCTCCATTAGGTTATGGTGTTTGTTGCTTGCTTCTCTTAAGTTCAAATGTATCATCTCAAAACATTAATACTGTTTTCCATAGACATTACTGAAGAGGCCTACAGTTGCCACTCCTCGCATCTCTCATTTTCCTCTCCGTGTTTCTTCTTCTCCGCCAACCCCAAAGCCCGAAATTGTTTTTTTTTGCTCGAATTCCATTGGAGGATATGGAGAATTACTTCTCTAATAGCTCTGCACCTTCTCCTATTGTGGAATCCCCGCAAATCCCGGCAGCCTCTGAAAATCTGCTACACCTTGCTAGCCGAAATGCCATCCCCCCCCCCAAACGTTTGAATTTATTCAAGTTTCCCTGGTTCGGATGATCTAAAAGAATAAATCAAGCGATCCGGAGTGCCTTTCCATTTTGGAAGGGTTGGTGGATCGGATGGGCAATATGACAGACAGATTCAAGCTTCTTCCAATTCTTAGGGACAATAATTAAAAGAAAGTGGACCTTTTGTTCTCTCTAGAGCAGAAAAAAAGCATGCACGTGTCTACCTTCATTTTTGAACACCATAAATTTGTTGAAGAATAATGTGACACCCTAGCCCACAAGCCACACAAAGTCGGGCATGTCAGAATCGTAGGCTAGCCCCATAGGTCAATACGAGTCCTTCTAGTGCACTTTTGTTTTCACTCACGCACTCATCCTCAATTACTCTAGAGCAAACACGTTTAACTCTAGAGTTTTTTTAGTAGAGCTTCTAAAAAATAATGTACACATTATTGACATGAGTAGTCTATTTAATTAATTTAATCTCTATTTACTCTTGGATGGCCTAACACCGGCTCATCAATGTGAGTTGGCCTAGCACTGGTAACTCTGGAGCATTAAAAATAATCAGAGGTGAAAGCTTTACAAGCAGAACAGAAATATCTCTTAGCAGAAGTGGAAAGAATGCATCAGCGGTTGAAGGAACCTTATGTTTGCAGCAGTCAACTAAATGAAAGTCTGATTTACTACATCACTTGCTAAGCAAATTTTTTGGAGTGGGCAAAGAAACTAGATCTTCATCTTGCGGAGTTACAAAAGAAAATGGTATTGTTCGAAAAGAACCTTGAGAAAGTGACTCATGGTCTAGTGGAGTTGTATGATGCTTGGGATGAGGTAGCATCTATTTGGATGTCCCTTCAGACCGCGGAGTTGGACTCTCCGATGGCATAGGCTCTTCCAATCAAATCTACTGAACTTGTTAACTTCATTCCGTCCATCTTGAGCGGTCTTCCGTCCGTTTCTTCAATCACTCAATCTATGCCAGTTCCGCCGAAGTCTGGTGATTCTCCGTATGTTTCTTCAATTGCTCAACCTATTCCAATTCC